CTGGAGGGCGTGACCTTTCCATCCGGTTTGCAAAGTTTGACGTTTGGTGCTGCCTTTAACCAGAACCTGGAGGACGTGACCTTTCCATCCGGTTTGCAAAGCTTGACGTTTGGTGCTGCCTTCAACCAGAACCCGGAGGGCGTAACCTTGCCATCCGGTTTGCAAAGTTTGACCTTTGGTGCTGACTTTAACCAGAACCTGGAGAGCGTGACCTTTCCATACAATTTGCAAAGCTTGACGTTTGATTCCGTTATTTCAACTTTGCATCCTCGATGCTCTTATTGATTTTATAAACAGTGGCAATGGCTGGGGCTGAGCCTAGTACCCCACATAGATTCCTTTTCTGATATGGCATCCGGCTAAGCCAAGAACCGGCAAGACGTTTATTTGCATCACCATGGCATCTAAATACGAGCACCTCCAGCACTTCCACGTCCAGCACTCCAACGTTGGGCACAAGTACAGCGGGCACAAGTACAGCGGGCACAAGTACTTCAAGCGCTTCCACGTCCAGCACTTCAACCGGCAGTACCAGCACATCCTTCGGCAGCACAAGCACCTCAAACACTTCTGGTCCAAGCACCTCCACAAGCAGCACTTCTACATCCAGCACTTCAACGTCCAGCACCTCAACAAGCAGCACAAGCACTTCCAACACCCAGCAGGCAGCTGGAGCACAAGCACTACCAGCACCACTGTAAACACCACTAGCACAACTTCAACACCTCAAGCACATCAACAAGTTTACCAGCAGGAGTACCTCCAGCTCATCCACCTCAAGCACTTCCAGTTCAAGCACTTCTGAGGCCGCCTCATAGATTCCTTTTCTGATATGGCATCCGGCTAAGCCAAGAACCGGCAAGACGTTTATTTGCATCACCATGACCTCTAAATACGAGCACATCCGGCACTTCCAAGTCCAGCACTTCAACGTCGAGCACAAGTACATTGGGCACAAAAGCTTCAAGCACCTCAACCAGCCGTCCTAGCACATCCTCCAGTAGCACAAGCACCTCAAGCACTTTCACTTCCAGCACTTCAACTTCAAGCCAAGTACTTCAACCACCTCAACAAGCCATGCCGGCACATTCCTAACACAAGCACCTCCAGCACTTCCATGTCCAGCACTTCAACATCAAGTATGAGTACACCAAGCACAAGTACTTCCAGCACCTCCACATCCAGCACCTCAACCAGCAGTACCAGCACGTTCTCCAGCAGTACAAACACATCCGGCACTTCAACGTCGAGCACAAGTACTTCCAGCTCCTCCACATCAAGCACCTCAACCAGAAGTACCACCACATCCTCCAGCAGCACAAGCACGTCCAGCACTTCAACGTCCAGCACAAGTACTTCCAGCTCCTCCACATCAAGCGCCTCAACCACTGTAACCACCACTAGCACAACTTCAAGGTCTACCTCAAGCACATCAACAAGCTTCACCAGCAGGAGTACCTCCAGCTCATCCACCTCAAGCACTTCCAGTTCAAGCACTTCTGAGGCCGCCTGATAGATTCCTTTTCTGATATGGCATCCGGCTAAGCCAAGAACCGGCAAGACGTTTATTTGCATCACCATGGCCTCTAAATACGAGCACCTCCAGCACTTCCACGTCCAGCACTTCAACGTCGGACACAAGTACAGCGGGCACAAATACTTCAAGCGCTCCCACGTCCAGCACTTCAACCGGCAGTACCAGCACATCCTTCGGCAGCACAAGCACCTCAAGCCCTTCTGGTCCAAGCACCCCCACAAGCAGCACTTCTACATCCAGCACTTCGTCCAGCACCTCAACAAGCAGCACAAGCACTTTCAACACCTCAGCCGGCAGTTGGAGCACAAGCACTACCAGCACCACTGTAACCACCACTAGCACAACTTCAACGTCTACCTCAAGCACATCAACAAGGTTTACCAGCAGGAGTACCTCCAGCTCATCCACCTCAAGCACTTCCAGTTCAAGCACTTCTGAGGGAGGCCGCCTCATAGATTCCTTTTCTGATATGGCATCCGGCTAAGCCAAGAACCGGCAAGACGTTTATTTGCATCACCATGACCTCTAAATACGAGCACATCCGGCACTTCCAAGTCCAGCACTTCAACGTCGAGCACAAGTACATTTGGCACAAAAGCTTCAAGCACCTCAACCAGCCGTCCTAGCACATCCTCCAGTAGCACAAGCACCTCAAGCACTTTCACTTCCAGCACTTCAACTTCAAGCCAAGTACTTCAACCACCTCAACAAGCCATGCCGGCACATTCCTAACACAAGCACCTCCAGCACTTCCATGTCCAGCACTTCAACATCAAGTATGAGTACACCAAGCACAAGTACTTCCAGCACCTTCACATCCAGCACCTCAACCAGCAGTACCAGCACGTCCTCCAGCAGTACAAACACATCCGGCACTTCAACGTCGAGCACAAGTACTTCCAGCTCCTCCACATCAAGCACCTCAGCCAGCAGTACTACCAACACATCCTCCCGCAGTACCAGCACCTCCAGCACTTCAACGTCGAGCACAAGTACAGCAAGCACGAGTACTTCAAGCACTTCCACGTCCAGTACCTTGACCAGCAGTACCAGCACATCCTCCGCAGTATAAACACCTCCAGCTTGTCCACTTCAAGTACTTCAACGTCAAGCCCAAACACATCAAGCACACGTGCATCAAGCACTTCAACCAGCAGTACCGGAACATCCTCCATCAGCACAAACACCTCAAGCACTTCCAGCCCAAGCACCTCCACATGCAGCACTTCTATATCCAGCACTTCAACGTCCAGCATGCCAACAAGCAGCACAAGCGCTTCCAGCACCTCAACCAGCAGTTGTCCAGCACTTCAACATCAAGTACAAGCACAAGTACTTCCAGTACCTCCAGATCAAGCACCTCAACCAGCAGTACCAGCACGTTCTCCAGCAGTACAAGCACGTCCGGCTCTTCAACGTCGAGCACAAGTACTTCCAGCTCCTCCACATCAAGCACCTCAACCAGCAGTACCAACACATCCTCCCGCAGTACCAGCACCTCCAGCACTTTCACGTCCAGCACTTCAACGTCAAGCACAAGTACAGCAAGCACGAGTACTTCAAGCACTTCCACGTCCAGCACCTTAACCAGCAGTACCAGCACATCCTCCGCAGTATAAACACCTCCAGCATCTCCACGTCCAGCACTTCAATGTCGAGCACAAGCACAGCGAGCACAAGTATTTCAAGCGCTTCCACGTCCAGCACCTCAACAAGCAGCACAAGCACTTCCAGCACCTCAGCAGGCAGTTGGAGCACAAGCACTACCAGCACCACTTTAACCACCACCAGCACAACTTCAACGTCTACCTCAAGCACATCAACAAATTTTACCAGCAGGAGTACCTCCAGCTCATCCACCTCAAGCACTTCCATGTCTAGCACTTCTGAGGCCGCCTGATAGATTCCTTTTCTGATATGGCATCCGGCTAAGCCAAGAACCGGCAAGACGTTTATTTGAATCACCCTGACTTCTATATACGAGCAAATCCAGCACTTCCAAGTCCAGCACTTCAACGTCGAGCACAAGTACAGCAAGCACAAGTACTTCAAGCACTTCCATGCCCAGCACCTCAACCAGCAGTGCTAGCACCTCCTCCAGCAGTATAAGCACCTCCAGCTTTCCACTTCAAGTACTTCAACGTCAAGCACAAGCATATCTAGCACAAGTACATCAAGGACTTCAACCAGCAGTGCTAGCACATCCTCCGGCAGCACAAACACCTCAAGCAATATTTTTACCTTCTCACCGGTGACCATGCCTTTTCCCTCCGTGCCGCTGATTATTGGAGAGCCTACTTGCGCATCCCAATCCAGAATGGCAACGACACGTACTACGCCTTCAACATCAATCAGCCCCAGCCCACAACTACTTCTCAACCACCTACGATCCCGGTACTAGCCGCCCAACTTCGAGCCTGCCCTTTTGGCCAATCCGCATGTGGCCTGCACCTACGTCCTCATCATCGACAACTACAGGTGGCCTTCCTAGTGATCAATTGCAGGCACTGGCCCAGGGACTTCACGCACTGGCCTCATCGAGCCGTTCTGACACATCTGAGACGACACCACCAGCCTGGACGGCCCTCCGCTGCTGAGCTGTTCCTCGGACAAAAAACGACCCTGCTGCGGCAGGGTGTGTGTGTGAAACGTCTGTATAGACGTAAAACTTCCATGGCATTGTTGAATCTGGTATTTTGGTATTATTTCAGTTTTCAAACAAGCAGGGGGATGGAGTGTGCCTCAGATGTCTCCATCCAACGAAGACGCATCTGTTGCACAGTGATATGGATTGGGGACGCTCAATCCACGTACCTGCTCAATATTTTTTCATTTTCGTCCATGGCCACCGGCTAAGCCAAGAACCGGCATGTCGTTTTATTCAACCTCAATTTATTCAACTTCAACCTTTTTACATAGTTTTACACGGTCGCCGCAATCTGATTGAGCTGCATCTGAACAATCCTTTGGGTTTATAATACACTATCGCCGACACATCGTCGCCGATGCATACTGGTTGGACAATCTTCGCCGACGACATCGCCGATGACATTACTTTTGGTTGATTAACTTCCCGATCCTTATTCTATTCTTTTTGAAGTCGATTCAGGGCATGGAGAACATTCAGGAGAACTTCCATTATTCGTAGGATGCATCGTTAATTTCATTGTTTCGTATCTAATCTGCATGTTTCAGGATTCAGTTCCTGCCGGATCATATAATGATCCATTCTTGTCTAGTGTGTGTAAAATGCATACGCATAGGTAATGACATACTTGGGATCTCTTGCGGATGATTCTATGTATTTGGGATCCCTTCTTTGAGATGTGAGACTGATTGGAATCCCAAGAGCATTAATTCATCCCTATATTAACATATATATATATAATATAGAGGTAACATATTCGTTGATCATCATCTCAAAGAGTCACTATCTTGGGGATGATTCAAGTTCAACGATGAGGTTGAGATCTGTGGCGTCAGTGTTAGGCCTGGGGGGCAGGAGGATGGCAGGTCGTTACCTCCTCACTGCGAGGTCACTGGAATGGTCGGGATTGGGGTAACTATCCCAAGAAGCAGTTTAATTTCAGTTTAGTGAATACCCTCTGGTAAACTAACATAGCTATTAAAAATGGCCATTTATAGTTGATTTACCCATTTAAAATGGTGATTTTCAATAGCTATGTTAAATTACCAGAGGGTATATAATCATAATTTGTCCAGATGGATTTGTTTAGGGAAATGTCGCTGAAAACCCCCTGGGTTTTCACCCCAAGACAACGGGTAAACCCTGTAGACTCCCTGTGGATATTCTCTTAAAACCAATGAACCCCCCCATGAGATTGTTTATTTGGGGGGTTCTCACCCCCAGTTGTGGGGACCCTTTCTGAGATATGCCTAGCATTGAAGTCAGAATCGCTACCTGCCAAAACAAGAGATGTATCCCTAATTGGGGATGGTTCAAAACCATTCAAAACCCCTGTGCCCGTGCCCCCGAAAAATGGTACCATAGGAAGCCAACCCCCTTGGAGCATAATGCTCTACCATCCCAAAGCTACAAGGCTTGATCCCTGGATTGATCGGAGTCCTGGATTGATCCGACCCGAAATTCCGAAGGTCACTCATCTCTACTAGCGATCCCACGTGCTCCAGTGGATTTGATCGAAGCGGCTGGAAGCTTTGCCTCTGACCATGCTCCCAGCCACCTGGATCGATTCAGGTGACCATCCGTCCCACTGAACCAAGGGGTTAGTAACGGTTGAGCCTGTTGAGCAAACGAATATGGCAATATGATGCAATATGGAAATGAAGAATGCCTTGATTCAGAAGTGAACCACAAGAAAAGTGCGTGGAAAGTTTGGGGAAGCATCTCTGATTACAATACAAAACAGCTTTTGATGAATGATGATCCATTTTGTCAAGAGTTGTCAAAATAGTATATAATAGTATATATGTAGTCATCCTTGAGTAGATAGAATATGGACTGTTAAAAGTAATCCTTTCTGAAATCCGAACGTGTTTGACAATTCCACATCTAATTTAGAGTGATTGCATACTATATGTCTACATTTCTACACACATATACATATATAAATATAGCGGCTCCCAAAGAGAAAGAACAGCAAAATCCTACTTCGATAGTGGTAAATTTCAATGACGTTTTCACATTTCTTTTGGGAGGGGTTACTATATCCATACCCATAGGATCCATGTATGGTATATATGCTAACATTTACCATCAATATAACATCAATATACCCCAAATGTTAGCATATATACCATACATGGATCCCATGGGATATAAGTCTACCATGGTGAAAACCATCAGATGGCCATGGCCCAGATTTCGACACGAGGTTCGGGCTTCGTTGACGCCATGACCTTTGACCCGGAATACGCCGCGCGCCACAAGCATCAACGACAGCAACCAATCCGAGGCGCCCTTTCCCGTGGGCACGGGAGGGGCGCGGGTCCAGTGGATTCGGAGGGCATACAGTACCAATTTGGTTTGGGATATTATTATATTCATTATTTTTTTTTGTCATGTAATTATATATATACACACATATATATATATAGAGAGAGAGATGCAATAGATACCCAGTATATATATATCCATAGTAAATCCATAGTAAATCCATAGTAAATCCATATTAGGGATATTCCAGATATTAGGTTACTTCATATGACTAGCACCCAGTTACGATGCAGGGGAAAGTTACAACAGGGCCTTTGGTAAACAAGCTTGGCTAGAGAATTCCATGCTTTAGAGATATTTTCTCTTGTAGATATCTTGCAACCTGGAACCCTTGTAACATCCAGCTCTGAGAACATGGTTGTTGGTGTTTTTCTTTGCACAGATTGCTGGCTGGAATCATTGGAGGGTATATGTTGGAAATGCTGATCCAGGCTCCAGACTGGTCACACTTTCGGTCCAAGATTGATTTGGGTTGCACAGAAACCTGAAACGCATTCCATGGAAATGTATGGAAATGTGAGCACTCGCAAAAACCCATCATTTTGATTTTCATTTGTCTGCAATTATGTCTTCAAACAAGTCGAATCAAGTCAAAAAACAATCATGTTCTTGGATGAAAACCATCTGCTCCCAGCCACTATCCCAGATATGTTGGGTCCTGGCTTTGCGCCAAGGCGCAAGCGAAGGCATGTCCACCGCGGTCAGCAGCTTCGGTCAAGGCATCAGTGGAATGCTTGACGTCTTTCGGCGCCTTGGCGGAGCAAGTTACTTGGAGTAAGTGGGGGTCGTAACTGGGGTTATAAGATGTTCCGTCCGTCCAACCTGGACGTTGCTCCACACTTACAATCATCATCATCCTCCTCCTCATCATCGTCGTCGTCGTCATCATCATCATCACCATCATCATCACCAGTGTCAAGTCATGTGGAATGGGGTAATACCAGCAACGTATATGTCTTATATTCATAAGGGATCAAACATCCACCACCCCCTCTGGCAAATATGTTGAATGGTGTATATAATCACATCAACTTATCTTCATAAGAGATCAACATCCGCCACCCCTTCTGGCAACTACGTTGAATAAGGAATAACATCAACTTATCTTCATAAGGGGCCAAAAATCCACCACCCGCTGCGACAAATATGTTATATAAATTGTGTAATCACATAAACTTATCTTCATAAGGGATCAACAAATCCTCCACCCTCTGTGGCAAATATGCTGAATCTGATTATAGCACCAACATATCTTCTTGATGATGATGATGATGATGATGATGATGACAATGACAATGAGGTTGATGAAGATGAGGTTGATGACGACGACGATGACGATGATGATGATGATGATGATGGTGGCGGTGATGATGATGATCGTCATGATCATCATCATGATCATGATATCATGATCATGATCACATATACATCTACATTGAAAATCCACCGGCATGGCATTTCAAAAATTCGCAACCCTTCTGCAATTCCGGCGCGGAGCAACGTCATTGTTGCACCGATGTTGTTATACCCTCCGGTAAACAGCCACAGAACTATTGAAAAATCACCAGTTTTACTGGGGAAATCACGTATTTCTATGGCCATGTTCAATAGCAAACTGTGAAATTACCAGAGGGTAACCCATTGATACATGGGATAATCCACTTAGGGGTCTTCGGGGACTTACGATCACCATGTGTTTTTTTGCCAGTTGCGATTCGTGGGAAGATCCTCCAATTAATTGCTGGATAGGTCAAATGGGGTTTATTCATGGGATATGTATATAATATATATATATATAAATATTTATATATTTATATATTGGGAACATCAGATGAACATCATCTATAGCTGGGGACTGCACCTATGGAAGAGGATGATCCATTGATCGTTCTTGCAGGAGACCGGTGGAAGGCGCCAAGAACGATGGCGTCAAGGGCTTCGTCAAGGGCATTGGAACTGGCTTTGTCAGTGGCATGGTGAAGGGGGTCACTGGAATCAAGGAGCCTTGGCATCCAACTGGTCAAACCTGAGGTTTTTGTTGATCTTGGATTTGTGTGGATGAGGAAGAGTTTTTTGGGGGCTTTGGATTCTAGATGAACTCGACATATCCAAATTTTGTCTAGTGTAGTTGTGGACCGTAGATGTTTTTTTTTGGTAGAACTTTTGATTATTTGTACTACGTATAATAGCACTATATGAATAGTATAGAAAACTTGTAGTTATAGACTATAGTCTATAGTACTTATATAATGTTTGCAAAGCAATAATGAAAACACACATATTTTGATGGTTTATAACACCCATTTATGGTGATTTTGGGATGGTTTACCATTGCTTTAACCAATCCAGGCTTTTGGGTAGAGGACGTATGGAGGTGATTCAGTTATAGATGTACATACCACAACATATGTATATATGTAATGTATGTATCTAACTATATAAACTGTAATGTGGTAAATCCTGGGACATTGTAGCCATGCTTCGAAGGACTTACAGTATGCGGGATGTCACCCAAGTTCTCTTTTGAAAAGGTTGGCACCACCAACTGTGAGGCCGCCTTTTTAAGGCCTTGTATCGCTAGGGAAATTGAGGCTCACAACCACTGGATGGACTAGGCTGCAATTCTTGAGACCGCACCATATCATATTATGATGTCGAAAAACATTGTTGTTCACCACTTTTTTCAAAAGGAGCCATTGGATACACCCCAAAATGGGCTCATTGTAGAAACCATCAATACATTAAGTAATTCCAATCAATAGCTTTCGTACAGGTATTTTCACCAGCGATCATCACCGGGATTTTCATTGGATTTTCCAATATGTGGAGGCACCCCCAACCGCCTAAGGATGGGTTGAACCATGTTGAACCCATACGACAAATCCTGCGCCGCGCAGGATGCAGCCATGGACTTTGGCCGAGGTCTGGTGGCGGAGGCAACGTGCCATTTTCACATTCATCATTTCACCATAGCCTCTGGTAAACTAACATAGCTATTGAAAATGGCCATTTATATTGGATTTTCCCATTAAAAATGGTGGATCTTTCCATAGTTATGTGGCTGTTTACCAGAGGGTACCCTCAATCAAACATGGCGATGGAACAGCCCCTATAAATTGAGGTTGCGAAAATCACCTATCAATGGACATGTTTGTGCCATGTTTTGATTACCGAAGGCTATTGGCCGGTGTTTACGGCCTGGATTTTTTGCTGCCAGGTGAATCGGAAGATCAACCCCACCCAGGAAGTGAAGAGAAGGGTCAGACATCCCCGCGCGACCTATGGACCCGTGGGAGCCGTCTTGGACTACTCGGATGCTTGGATCAATGGCGGGTGCCTGGAAAACCAAACAACAAGAGCACACACAGAGATATACATACATATTGACATATAATCATATATATATATGTATATGTGGGCGAGAGTGTGTATATCATATATATATACATATGTATGTAATGTAATGTAATGTAATGTAATGTAATGTAATGTAATGTATGTATGTATATATATATATATACATATGTATGTAATGTATATGCTAGATACACATTACATTACAAACATATTTTGTGCGGTTCCAGGTGAGAGTATAAATGACCATCCCAACAGTTCAACATCGGAATTCAGTGATCCCCACCTGGGAGTTAGCTGCTGATAGCTCCTCATCCCATCGTTAGGAGCTGGATGCCCATGTCATTGCCTACATCCACAGCCAAGTTGACCCCAGCCACTGGGCTCTTGAAAAAGAGCTTGGGCCAACGTTTGGCAGGACCTCCAGCCAGTACATCATTTTCCTGGTCAATTGGCCAGGCTGTGTCATCACTCCTCATGGCCCAGGTTATGCCATTGAAGCCATTGTGCCCCTCTTCAAGCCCCTGGGCTGAAACCGTTGAGCCTCTCCACTGTCCTGAAACTGCGCAACACTGCGCAACCGTGCAGGTGGGAGCAGCCCAAAGTGCAGGCTGATTCTGATGGAGAGCTGGGACCAAGCTTTGAGGCGCCCCTGATATCGTGAGATATCTTGGGGATGTGCAATGGCCACAGGTAGGGTTAATGGGCTTAAGAATGTTTTGAATTGGGCGTAGGCTATGTGCCCATATATTTGTGTGCGTGTTTGACACAAGGGTCAAGCTCCATGAAAGATTTTATCGAAATTCCAATGAAAGAATCCCTGGTATTGTGGTTTCATTGCCTCGGAGGTATTTTGACCTGGACAATTTGTCATCTCAATCATTTGTGAAGGGAGGACCATGTAGCAAGTGCTCCACATCAGCATTGCTGCATGGGCATTTGGGCTTTGCATGTAAACAGGGCATATGTATATATATATATAATTTATATATATATGCCACGAATGCAATGTAAATGCTTTAAATGAATAACGATACAATGCAATATTGGAAGTAATGCAATGCAGTGCGGCATCATGTGACTGTAGAGTGAGGTACACATTCGATGTAATGCGATTCGGTGTCATGTGATAGCACCTCCTGGTGGGCGACATTCCCCACAAGACAAGGTGGTGCCCTATAATTGGTTGGCTAAGTTGCTTAACTATGGTTAAGTAGGCTTTATGATGATTACAACCATACCATATCATTTATATGTATATATATCTATATAGATATATCATAAATATTATATAGAAATCATATGTATCATATATCATATAACCATACCATATCTAAATGACCATACATAACTACACTGAGCTGAGTGAAGCAACATGAACCAACAGAGATGACTGGGGCCCACCATGGTCATTTGGCAGGTCATGGTGCTGACCCACGACAAAGTCTTGCTGGCGGAAGTACCATACCTCAGGTGGAACCTGAAGGAAAACAACACAAAACCGTCACAAGAATTGGAGAATTGGAACTTAGTGCAAGGTGGAACCCAGCCACAAATTGGACTTGGACAGTCCGTTGGACGTAAAAATTACACTGTGAATTGTCTTAAACTCTTGGATTCCATGTCCTTTGTTGGCGATACCTTCCGGGGCATTTTGAGGGACTGCCAATGATGCACTCTGAGGGGTAAATGGTCATCTTCCGTAGCCTTTGTGCCGACCAGAATGGGGGACATGGGAGTGGGATGAGTAGGAATGGGTCAGTTTTTGGGTCCCTGGGAAATTTAACGAAACATATCGTTGTTTTATTTTTATTTTTAATCAGGTTGAATAGATGTTTTCAGGTGTGTAGTCACCTAGTCACCGACACTGGCTGGGGGATCTTCCACTGCTATGTTGGTTTACCAGAGGGGCGAAGCCATTCAGAGTTGGAGCCTCAATATTAAAAGTCACAGCGTTGGGAAAGTTCCGAATCCAATGCCAGATCTTAGAGGGTTTTGGTTTTCAAGAAGAAGCCCAACTTTGAATCTGGTTTCTGCATATATTGGTGCTTTGAAATGATGAGATGATCATAAGAAATATCATAAAGGATCCCCATTTGCCATTGACAACTATTTTTCTAGGGAGGTTGAAACCACGAATCAGATCATTTACATCCTGAATCCTTGTCCCGGCCTGACATGGTCGACCAAGCTGAGAGGCTGTATGAAGTTGAGAGCTTTTACCCAGATGCGGGCTATGAAAGAAGCCATCCCAACATGGTTCCTTGGAAGATCTGAAACCTATTTCGTGTTTGACCTGTTTGGTGTAGCAACACTTGGGGTGTCCAGGCCTAAGTGCCTCGCTGTTGATTTTACACACTACTTCAATCATCTTCAATCTGTGCAAGTCGAGATTCAACAATTTTTGAAGCCATGTATTTTGACACTCCGTAGCACTATTTACTATACTATTACTATAGTAAATATATGTAAATATATAATCTCTATTCAATTCTATCAGATTGTTCAAGTCCGCGAGCACTGCAGGTTCACACCCGCTTCCTCCAACACCTGCGCAGTGAACGGCCGAGCAGTCAACGAAGTCGCAGTGGCCAGTTCCAGCCCCGTGGCTTCGGTGGGGGTATCGTCAACGATAAAAAGTGCTCGGCTATATATTTTCTCCATAAACTCCGAATGACATGTCCAAAGACATTTCTATAGGGTACTTCGGTGCCAATTTCTGATTACCCTTCTGGTGAACTAACATAGCTATGGAAATCTATGAAAGCAATGAAGCCCAATTTATAGATGAGTTACCTACTAAAATGGTGATTTTCCGGTTCGCAAACTGTTACCCTCTGGTAAACAGCCACATAACTATAGAAAGATCCACCATTTTCAAGGGGTAAATCCGGTAAATCCACTATAAATATCTATAAATCACCATTTTCAAATTTTTCAATAGCTATTTTGACATCACCAGAGGGTATATCCCATTAATATCCCATTAAATCACTATAAAATCCCATTAAAGTACCAGAGGGTCCTTTCAGTCAACCCCTTTCTCCAAGGATTCGCCAGGAGTGTCCCTATAGCTCCGTCCGCTCGGTGCGATGGGCGACGGGCAATGCGTCACAGAAACCGCCCTTGCTGCTGGAGACGGGTCGGCAGGGGCAGCTGGGCAAAGATGGGAGAAGTGGGGGGGTCACAATGTATATATTATGTATAATATATATATACTGTATATAGAATTGTGTATGTATATATACATGTAGATAGATAGATAGATAGATAGATAGATAGATAGATATCTATAGATAGATATTTGTTTTCAACAACGGTAATAATACAAGAATAGAAATAATGGCAACACACAATAATACACAATAATAGACGTATAAATAAATTGAGATATATGAATTATGAATAATTAATTAACATACAATAAATCACAATAATATGTATGGGAATTGGTTGTTTCAATGATCATCCCGTTTGAATGACGGTTGGGATGGGGGATGATGGGGGTAATTATGCCCAAATGGCTTCAATGCAGACCGGTGAATTATTATGATTTATCAAGATAGTCTGGTTGGGGGTTTGTGACATTTTTATGTTTTTCCCAACCACACAAAAGGGATGATTGGTTGAGATGACGAGCACTTTTTTGGTTGGGTTAAGACCTGCGAATCAGTAGTACTAACATTTACCATCAATATACCCCCCAATGTTAGTATATATACCAGCACCATGGATCCGTCATGGGTAATAGGGATATGAACATGATATCGAAATAAAAAAAATGAGAGTAGCGATGACAATCACAATGATCTCATGGGACTGGTGGTTGATGGCTACTGCTATAATGTGCCAACTGAGCTTGTTGCGTTTGGGCTTTCCAAGGTGGGAATCTCTGGCAGGGACGGTGGACTGGTAGTTTGTTACTTCAATCCCAGAGCCAACCTGAACCTCAAGCCAATGATCCCAGACAGGTGGCAACACCAGCGCTGATTTCAGCCCCTTTAAAATGGGGCCTCGCCCAGGTCTCAAACACAGCTGCTGGAAGTGTTGATGCCATGGTCAGTCTGTGATGAGCTTCCCTCGGCAACGTGTTCTCTACTGTCATCCATTGACAGCGGCGTCTTGCCGCCAAAGAAGGCGAGGCTCTTCGCCAGCAATGGCGACGGCTGATCAGGATATCTGATGTATTCTGATGTTCTCTAGTCAGCCCAAAAGGGGAGGAAAGACACAAAACTGGGGGGCTTCAACTGTGGTTTTCATGTTTTTTATCATGATACTGCCCGCATCTGCAAGGTGTGTGTTGAAACTCTATCTTTTGGCAATGCGCCAACAAACTGACAATGGAATCGGTTGAGTTTCTGGGCTTCTCTTTGGGGGCCTCCCAAGCAGTGGGATCAACTTGGTGTTTGACAGTTGTGACATGTTAGTATATTTATTATATAGATTGAAAATCACATGTTAAAAGGTCAGTTTCTCAGTTTCATAATGTTTTCATGCACGCTTTTCGGAGGTGCAATTGCAGTTTTTGTTGGAATTCAATCCCCATTTTAGAAGCCATTTTTCACACAGTGATCATCCCACCCTGCCAGAAAGAGATGAAGGGTGGTTGGATATGGCTAAACAATTGCTAAACATAGTTCTTATTCGTTTAAAGCATGGTTAACCTTATGTTCTCCTCCATAGCTGATAGCTTATTCTAATGATTTTTAAACTTTTAAAAAAATGCAAAAAAAAGAAAACACATGGAAAATCAAAAAGCAAAACTTCAAACCTGAAAAAAACGGAAGCAAAATAAATGGTGCAAAAAAAGGAAAAAATGGGAAAACAGTGGACTTGTCCATTTGCATTTTGTTTGCATTTATTCTGCTTTTTCGATTTGCTTTTGTTTTTTGTTTTTATTTTGTTTTTTTTTCAAGGCAAAAAACAACATAAATGCAAAATAAAAGCAAAAAACACGCAAATCGAGAAAGCAAAATAAATGCAAAAAAATGCAAATGGACAAGTCCATTGTTTCCCCATTTTTTTTTCCCTTTTTAACTTTCCTTTTTTCCCCTTTTTGTTCCCCTTTATTTTGCTTTTGTGTTTTTTGGATTTTGCTGATTTGCTTTTTGTTTTTTCCATTTTTTTTGGCATGTGTCTCGGTTTTTTCAAGTTTGTTGATTCTTATAAGCTATGGTCTGCTGAACATAAGGTTAACCGCTTAAAGCACATGATTATTGATGACATGCATCCCTGATTTCGTTGGTTCAAACCCCAATCATATCATACTATATTCCACTGTAGCCCCATTGTCCATGAGTCTCCTCCATTATATCCACAAAATCAATCATTTTCTATGCTTAAGTCCCAAATTTCATGGGTTTACTCCATGTTACTCCAAAGTTTTAGATGGTGAAATCCCAATTTTCATATATTTTCATAGGATTTCGATGGTGTTCCCCATCACTTTGGTGAACTCTCTATGGACGCAGGTGGAGATCTTGCAGCACACCTTGGCCACGCTGCGCTCGTCCCTGCAAGGGGACGAGCTGGAAAACAAAACCGTGGTGGATGAGGACTGGATGGGGCCCTGGGGCCCTGGGGCCCTGGGGTTCGCTAAGTTGGTGCAAATAACATCAATCATAACAACTATTTTATAACAAATGATACGCAAAGAACGATATCTAGATGGGCTTATAAACCAACTTATAACTGGAGGAGCCCCATCCTGTGTGGGAAAAGCACACATATATATATATGTGTGTGTATATATATAACATATAATATGAATACATGGGGAACATATGGGAATACATATTTATATACATACTATTTTAATGGGGAGACATGGCCATAGAAATGGTCGATTTACCCATGAAAAATGGTGAATTTTCCATAGTTATGTGGCTGTTTACCAGAGGGTACATCTACCAAAGAACAATGCTCCATGTTTTTCTTTTGGTGGCTCGGTCGGGCTTTTCAACGCGTTTTTTTTCGGAACGCAATTCCTTCCCGCCACGGCGTGTTTTTGTGCAGTTTTCCCCACGTAGTTTGTGGGGGAAGGCAATAACGTTCCTTGTCACTTGCACTCACGTGATGCCACGTTACTTTGATGCTATGTCACGTTGATGCTACGTTATAGATGGGGTGGGGTGAGGTGGGGTGGGGTCGGGGGGACAATAACTTTCCTTGGCATTTGCAGGCACGTAATGTGATTTGCTAGGTAGTACATCTCATGTTAACCTGTACGTGGGGCTGTATGTCACCGATAGAGAAGTCCTACGTTTAGTCCTGGGGTTTGGGGTAGTACGTCACGTTAACTTGTTAATCTTGTTCTGGGATGGAGAAGTATGTTTTTGCACAAGATGCAACTGTTTGACCTTGGTAAAGACCACTCCTGGCCGCCCTGATGCAGAGAAAAAAGGCAGATCGGGCCATGACCTGCTCGTCGTGCTTTGCTTGTCAATTCGAAAGATCTGTTTTTTCTTAATTATATAGATTTATTTTGATCTCCATCTCGAAAAGAAATCATAGCTTATCACAGCTACATCTCCATCATCGATGAAGAAGAACTTGCTACATTACGTCGTTTCACTATGTCATCCACATTTTGATGATCTTTGTCAAACATTGTAGGAGGACTGTCGGCGCGCGTTTACGACATTTTACGACCCGACCGACCGAAGAACGATGCTCCATGGCCATGGCCCATTGAGTTCGATGATTTAGCTCAACATGAGGGTGCAAACAAAAGAAATTTGTGGAAGGTGTTCTACACCTGGCATAACAAACGCATAACGGCACAACATTAAATTGCACTAGCACTACATTGTATTAGAGACATACACGTATTGACATACATATTGATACACACACACACGCATATATATATATATATTTATATATATACATCCACAGGCATACATTATACATACGCATATGCATGCGCCGCACGTGCATACGCATATATACTCGTACGTATACTCGTTGCATCTTACATGCAATAAACACACACGCACACATACACATACTACATTACGTTTACATCCATACATGCACGTTTATAGGTTTTCAAACATTTTTGAAAGGGCATGTTTGAAACATATTTGCACGGCTTGCCCAAAACCCGTTAAATGTTGGATTTCCCAATGGGAAAATGGAGACAGAAACAGTCCCGCGGTGCGGTGCCTGCGGTTTCTGCCCCTTAATTTTTCTGTCCCATATCCAGGTCAGCGAGAAAAACAAGTCTAGAAGCTGAAAATTAGGTGGAAGCACCACGTTTGAGAGAGCTGTTTGGTGAAATGACGGCACATGGCTGGGGCAGGCAGCATGTGTGATGTTTGGATGTGCAGGTGAAAAGAGTAAGAATGTTTAATGTGTAATGTTTTTGACCCTTGGGACGGTCCACAACAAATTGGATAGAACCGCAGTACCAGTCATGGGAGAAAGCAATGTTTACTCAGCAAGAGCAGAACTGAAGATCTAGCTGAACTGCTTCCATGTAATTTGTTGAGATAGCCCAAAAAGGCATGACTTAAGCATATCTAATCGCAATGTAGGGGGACTTTTCTTAACTCACCGGAGGAGTGCTGGGAAGTACAGAGAGCAGCAATTGCAGCAGGCGCGCAGGTTTCCAGCCCCGGAAAAAAAACTGCCCTGGCGATCCGGATGAAGTAGTGCAGCTACTACAGTTACTACCGGGGCTCTCCAAATCATTCCAAATCTTCATGGTTTTAAAATGTGCTTTGAGTTGAACAGCCAACCATTTTTCATGGTTTTCATGTGACGCTAGGCTTCGAGTCTGGCTGGCAGCCGCCTTTCTTGCCAACAGAGCCTGAACAGCAGCAGGGATGGCTTGCGGAAGGTGGGGAAGACGCGGCAAAAAAATAGTATGATCGCAGGCTCAAGGAATGCTTTGGCTTGGTGGATCAGTGTGATTATTGTTAGGGTATTGTTAGGGTATTGTCATGCTATTTGCAGCCTTCTAGCCTCATGAAACAAGCAGCTCTGGGAATTTTTCACCAGCCGTTGAAGTTGATGCACCAAGCCAACCCGGTCCAGGCCTTGAAAAGCGCCATCCCTTACTGGACCTGACACGCAGCAACTCACGAAAGAAGAAAGGGCCGCCCATGAGGCAACTGCGCTTTTGGAAGCCGAATGGCACCTGGCAGCGGGAAATTAATGAACACACCGATGCTTGGCCAAGTTGATGTCAGATTTTTGTTTCGGTGATTGGATATGCATCTCAATGAAAGAGCCGGGAAAGAGCCGGTACCAGCTTGTACCCCACTTGTATGCCCATTTATATGTGGCTTGTACGTGGGTTATTGACCACTTACCAAGTGGGGTGTAGCAACTGACATTGGTGGATTTGTGGACAACCCGTCGTTTGCCAGGATGGTGAGGGCTGGCAGTACGCCACTGGTTGGGGCAGCCGTGACTGGCGAGCTTCCCCTCGGATTATGCTTGATGTGGTGCGAGCACGCAAATGGACCATGAAGTACACCCTGAATTTTGTGGCCCAGGCCCACGGGTCCTGGCAGCGGCTGATGACCCACTTAGTCCCAAGTCCTATAGGAAAAGAAGACCAGTTATCGCATTTTATCATGGACTTATATTTGGTGGAAAAAAATCATTGGAGAACCGGCTTCATTTCCAGATGATAAAAAGATCGCGCCAGACCTGCACACCAAACCTGTCCATAATGCTGACCTGAACAACTATTTCCATCTATTTCCCATGTTCCTTCACTTTTGTATGTAAAACTGTCATCATCATTTTACCGGACTGTCTCAGAGTTGGCTTGTCTCAGGAAAAGATGCCAGAGGCCCGGATATTTAGCTGGCAAAGACCATCTAAAGACTATTACTACTACAGCATAGCATTCTTGTACATTTTCCAGTGTAGTATGTCCTCCTAAACCAGCCCACATTCACCGTGTTGTCATCATCCTCCTCATCACCCCTTTTTCATGACGTAATCGGCAAACCAGCTGATACTGACATCTCCTTGACGTGCCAATTATATATATATGTATATAATTATATGTTATACACACATATATATATATTTATAGGATAATTACGCAATATTTCTCAGGATTATCATCAAAAAGAACACCCAGTGAAATTAGAATCTCAACTCCCAACCACAATATATATTTTCCTTCAACCACCAACTGTGGTTTATCCTCGTGGCGCAGATCAATTCCAAAGCTCCATCGCCCTGGCTTTCGCTGCCCATGTCCGTCTCCCCCAGCGCCGCGCCCTCCGTCAGCGACGGCGACTCCCTGCCGCCGTTGTCGGCGCCGGTCTCGGCAGAACCTTCACCCAAGCGACACGGGCACCGACACGAGAGGGAGGAGCCCAATGGGAAGCCGGGCACCATCGCGGAAGCTCGGACTTGATTGATTTTTCCAGGTTGAACAATCAGGGGTTTAAGAATAATCCTTTAACTTCAATGATTCAATTCAATGATTATTTGGTTGAAAGGCCGGATTTCAGGTGAAATTCTGAGAGTTACCTCAGAGTTCCAAGTCCAAGGCCCGGCAACTCCACGCCTTGGCCTCTGACGCACACCTGGCGCTGCCCCCGTCAGCACCGCCACCCGCGCAGCCGCCACCATGGCAGCCGCCACCCGCTCAGCCGCCACTCCGGCAGCAGCCGGCGTCCGCACCTGCGTCGGCGCAGTTGCCGGGGCCGCTGCGGCCGCGGGCGGCAGGGGAGACGGCAGTGGTCAAGACTCTTCCACTGGAAAGGACCATCACTGCAATAGTACTAGTAGTATCTGTAGTAGGGTGTTCCCAAATTCATGCGGGAATTTACTGTAATGGAATTTATGGGAATCTATGTAGCAGTCTCTTTGTTGCATTTTGTTGCTTGGTTGACATTCCAGAAAAAAATCAGAGCTTTGATGGGTGACCTGAGATTTCAAGACATGTTTGGCTCCAGAATCTTATGAAATTGATGATGGTGTTGAGGAGGTTATTCACTTCAACAACGTCTTCAATCACATGCACACAAGTACCATATAGAGATACAATGAGATACATATATAATAATTATATATATATAATTACACATATCTTCATATTCATAGGATATTTTGCATTCAGGGATTGCTGTCCAACACGAATCCTCTTGAGGAGGGCAGATCGTGTGCAACTAGCCTACCCACGAGCGTGTAGTGTGACTTCACCAAGTTCCGTTCAGTCGATGAGCTTTGTCCGGTCTCCCATGAGCGCAGTGGCTCCTACGTATCTTGGCATGGCAAGCAGTGACAAAATGATTTGGGGTATCAGAAATCAACAGGAGTCCACACCCTGCCCCGAAAAACATCGAAGAGAAGGCGGATGAACATCGTCCCCTTTTCTGCAGCATTCTTGGAGTTCCAGGGTCAGAGTGTCAGAGGGTCAACCCAGCGCCACAGGCAGATGACCCCACGACCCATGCATCCGCAAGCAGTGGGGAGCCCCCAAGTGGTCTCATCAATCTGGCATCCGTCGCAGCGGTCTGTTCAAGCCACAAGCATGCCAGTGTATCGTTGCTTGGCATGTGATGGCTTCTGGCAGGCAAACTCAGAAAAGCCACGAGGATAATTAATGAATGCATCTATGGAATCCAGCAAACCCTATGCAAGCCATAACGCCATAACATACTACCCGTGCACACTTTCATTCAATAGATACTTGGTGGATATATATATATATAATTAATAATAATAAATAATAATATATATATATTATTTATTTATTTATTTCTCTACAGCAATCGCACTTTTGGTGACTTTCACAGGTAGATATTTGGCGACTTACGTGGCTCGCAGGTCCCCAGGTGGACGTGCTGGCGTCGAGCAGGTCCTCTGTTGCCAGCAGGGTGTCTGCTTCAAGGCAGGGAAGCGCCTTGTTTGATTGCTGGAGAATATAGCCCCAGATATTACTATATATACACGATATAGATAGATAGATAGATAGATCGATAGATAGATAGATAGATTGATCGATAGATAGATAGATAGATAGATTGATAGATAGATTGATAGATAGATTGATAGATTGATAGATTGATAGATAGATAGATAGATAGATTGATCGATAGATAGATAGATTGATAGATAGATTGATAGATAGATTGATAGATTGATAGATTGATAGATTGATAGATTGATAGATAGATAGATAGATAGATAGATAGATATAGACATAATTTGTATTTATACATATATATATATACATACGTAATTATATTTATATATAATTGTTATAGTTATTATGCATATGATTATTTATATATATATACTGTATATCAAATTATTATCATTTAATTATTATTGTTATATATACACCGAGAGAGGGAGGGAGGCCAAAGCTGGGAACCAAAAAGCAAAGTGGCCAGGCCTCAGCATCCCTCCATCGTCCAAAGAAGATGATCCACCTGGAGGCAGGTGACCCCGGGAGAATTTCAACTTCCCATAGGAAAACCACGGAAATGTTCATGGAAAACCACCCGATTTAACTATTCTGAGGTGAAAACGCGCGGTGTGTTTGTTTAATCCTTAAGCCGGGAACATCGCATGTTGTTCCACGCAAAGAGCTCAACTTTCAGGCGGTAAATCACATGTTTTCACCTTTTTAATGGGTCCATCACATGTTTTCCCGAGAAAGTCACAGCTGTAAATGGGACAATCACACTTTTTGATGGTAAATTCTGGCATTCAACTGAATAAGATTCCAGTGCCAGACCTCGGTTTAGTCATCCTGGAACTGTTCATTAGGGGTCCCCCGAGTAAATTCCAGGTCAGAAACTATCGAGTCGAATCAGCTTCACAGAGCAGCGTCCGGAATCAACATCCAAAATTTCAGATCAGCGTCGCAGAATCAGAGTCAAAGACGGTCCTGGATCAAAATCGTGGATGAATGGTCGGGATGGTAGGGATGATCGAGACAGTCGGGACGGATTTGTATATTTTATTTATGTATATTTATGTCTTATAATATTTATAGATATAAATTTATATAGGTTTTCTTTTAGGGTTTCTTTAGGGTTTCTTTTTCTTTTGTTTTTTTTTTAAAGGGTTTCCTTAAGGGTTTCTTTTGGGTTTATTCTTTAGGATTTCTTTACGGTTTCTTTGTTGGGACTGTTTGGGTCGGGAGGGTCGGGACAGTCAGGACGGTCTCTACCGTCCGATCCAAACCGCCCAAATCCAACCAACACACGGGGCCCCGCAAAGAGAGTGGTTTATGATGGTTTATGGATGTTTATGGTGGTTCATCAATTCTGATGGGAATGGTCTTTTTTAGGTCTCGGGTCTAAGGTATCCAAGTTGATGCCATATTATGCCAATTTGCGGCATGGAAAATGCCATCCATTTCTTGGACAACAATTTCAGGTTTTGGAATGTTTCGGATTCATTTTCGATGATTTTGGAATGCGGCTAGTAAGGTGCATGGCTGGGGTCGTCCCCTCCAAAAAAGGCTTGATCCCCAGAACGGGGCTTCACCCTCCTTTAAAGAAACACAGATTCTTCATTGGATTGGACGTTGCCGTGCAGATGAGTGTTTTCGAATTAGTAAAGTTTCCATCAGTCTCCAACCAGTCATGCTGGTTTATTGGAGGGGAATTCTAAGAAAGTCATTGGCAGCGATGGTTTACTGCGTTATCCCAATCATGTCTCGCAGACCCAGCGTCGATCTTGACCGCTGGCCAGGCGATGCTGAAGTGCATTTTTTTTTGTTCTCTATGATCGATTTGGTTTCACGAAATGAAATTCGCCAATTTTTCGCGCCGCGCAGACTGCGGAACCGCCGTAGGTTTCACTCCGATGGAGGAAGTGCCGGTTTAGGGTCCTTCGTTGGGGACCCTGTAGACGAGGCCCCAGAAACCGTATTTTTAAATGTAAATTATAGGGCATAGGGGAGCATTGATTTGCCATCCCAAGACGTAGATTTCAATTGCGAAAAAAGTGACCGGATGAACGAAGTGCTGCTCCCTTTGGATGCTCACTTTGCAACATGATCAACATGGGACCAACTGTAATACTGTTATACTGATATTATACCTCTTTGAGACCAAGTGAAACATATTGCTGTGGATAAACGGGATATAACTATAACTGGATGATTTTGGGCATTTTTTGGCTCGAGAGACGAGTTTTTTTTCAGTTGCCGAGTCTGGCCCCAAGACGGGGCGCTACTATTCACTCGGTCACCTCACGCCGCAGGCGGGCTGGCGAAGGCAGCTGGCATCATGAAACAGTCCAATAATTACTCCATAAATAATAATATTGACTATTATAAAATATAATTAATTATATACTACATATACATACCGAACAGACATGGTTAAACGATGTTAAACGGTAAACCTGGTTTGGATAATTAGATTGATAAGGGGTATAGACAAGTTGTATGTTTGTTTGCCGAGCCACGGGCAGGCGATCCAGCAGCAGGTTCAAGGCCAAAAGAGTTTAATCAGGCTGGAAATGTGGGCACATGACACGAGTGGCACATCTGACCTGTTGATACCTGTTGTTCAACTATACATAATTATATATATTAATTATATCGAATTATGTTCAATTGTTTTGTGCATGGGAAAATCTGCGGGGAAATCTGGTTTGTCCAATTATAAGGGGTTCCTGTAAATGGTTTCCACAAACCAACTCTATAGCAAGTGAAAGGATGGCAAATGAAGGCTGCGTTGCCATGCTGAGGAAACAACTCTGACATTGTCCAAAGTGAATTGAGGATTGGCAGTTGGCACTGGCATCCACGCACACGACCATACGATTGCCTGAGATTGCATGCCCATTATATCCCCATGCTACAGTATCCATATGTATCCATATCAAATTCCCATTAGACCATACCCTCTGGTATATATATATAATATAATATATAATAATATATAATATAATATAATATAGTATAATATAATATAATATATAATATATAATATATACTATTAATATTACTGTAATATACCCTCTGGTAATCACGGTATGGCACTGGAAAATCCCCCCAAATGTTTAAGACCTCGACATGGCCAATGTTCCTGGATTTCCCGGCCCGCCATGTTGCCGCAGGGTATCCTCCAAAGTGTTTTGTATAGTTACCGCCCAAAAAGAAAAACAGTGATTGGAAGTTTAGGACTTTGCTAAACTCTACTTTTTGTGTATTGGTTTCATTTGGTGTCCCCTAATTCATCACCCAGTTGGCTGATTTTTCCATGAAAAATCTGCAGGCATGGGCTGTGCATTGGGTGGCAGACGGGTCCACCCTGGCAAGGACACCATGGCTGTTGTTTGGGCGAGACATTAGAAATTCAATTGTCGATTGGTTATCATGGGGATGATTATACTACCATTTTTTTTGAGGGGGATCATGTTTTGATATGTTTGGATGATGTTCCCAGCATTGGATGATGGGAAGACCAAAAAGCGGTTTTCTCTGAGTAGATTTTCCTTCAAACCAATCCATTGAGAATAGATGTTTTATGATATATATTTTTCTTTGCGCCACAAACTTGACATTTGAGCGGTTTGAAATATATTATATAGTATTATATATGCTGATTATACTGATGCTTATTGTCCACTAAAAGTTTACAGATCGCATTTCGGTCAATGCATCACGCCCCCCAAGTGACTCAAAAAATCTGATGAATCCCAGACACCTCTCCTACTGCTCTTGGAGTAGGACGGTCTCTATGATGGCGTCGTCGAATTCTCAGAGGCTTCCGTGGCCGTCGCGGATTTGTTCAGCTGGTGGTACTAAGGTTGCTGGGCAAGACGGTCAAGTCCCATGGCTCAACTGGCTGAACCGGTCGAAAAATCTGAGTTGATCGGATGATGTGGTGATCAAAGAAAGAAAAAGGTAGGTAAAGATGGATGTTTCAGACTTTCTGATTCATGCATGTTGGATTTGGCTTCAATGTCAATGAGTTGGGTGACCAATAAAAAGCAGCGGCACCGTCAAGGCATCCGGACGCAGACTGAGCGAAATCGAGTCACTCGACGGGATCGGAAGGCTATCTGGGCAAAACCCAGGAAGTCCAAGTTCAAGGTCCACAATCCCCTGGTAAAACCACGGACCAAACATTTTTCGACTGCTTTCAGAGACAGTTGCATCGGATCTATATCTCTAATTTGGCAAAGGAAAACCGCCCCTGATATATTTGGGCCATGATTTTCCAAAGGTTTGATTCAGGTTTGATGGTTTACCAATGTTTACCATGATTTTTCCAATATTTACCCAATCGGGGTTGATGGTTGATGGTTTCCCATGGTGGACCTGTCCAAGGAGCGAGCCAGGAGCGCCATCTGGCCAAGGCGGAGCTTCGTGTCATGTTTTTCAAGACTGGCTTTAATTTGGGAAAGCACTGTTTAATTATGTGTTATTATTAATAGTTAATTGTTTACTTATCTTAATTTCACATCATTTTACTATATCAGTTGGTGAAATCCTCATGCGAAGCTCGTGAAGTCCCGATGTTTGGTGGAAAGGCTGGGACCCTCTGAGTCGCTCCAGGCCTAAGAAAAGACAAGAAGCTGCAACGAGTCATTCGCGGAGGGAAGGATCGGCAATGGGATGACGGTTTGTTTTAGACCTGTCTGTCGAAACACATGGGGAATCCCATCTTTTGAGAAATGGTCATTAAAAAAACCTACCAAAATAGAAACTTATATAATTGATATAGTTAGTTATTAGATTTTATTAGTCGGATCTCACTTTTCTCTTTCTCTTGGGGTTACTAGATTGCAAATGGATGCATGAATTGGAGAGATGATTTTGCTTTGCTACGAGATGGCGACCTTAGCGACCTTTGGATTTTTGCAGGAATTCAACATGGGGAAAATGGATGAAAGTGGCGACCCAGCGAAAATCCATATTCTTTGGGAAAAAGAATCTGGAAAATCTATGAAAATCTGCAATCTATTTGTTTCTTGATGAGAAAGTCATCGAAAGATGAATGTGGACATTATAATATATATGGGAATGGAAAATACGTTTTCGTTGCCATGCGAAATTGCCGCGAGGGTATAGGCTGGTTGCTGGGGTGCTAGGATGATCATTCCGGATTAAAAAAACACATGCTGCGCTGCACGACTGGTTGATGGTTCCGAAGGCTCTTAGTCGTTCAATTTCCTTTGAAACTACCAGCAAGGCAATGATATTCCATCCATTTCCGTTCAGTTTTACGGAATCGTGTGACGTTTGACGTAAAAATGAATTTGGCTCACTGAATTGATCCTAGCTATTCAACAACTTCCAGCCCAGAATTTTTCAGATCTTTACAGTCTTTACATGTCTTGACCATCCCCAAGAAAGTTCAAAAGTCGCTTTGGGAAGAATCATGGCGGAAAGAAACCCATATTGTGGTAAAGCCAAGAATAAACCAAGCCCGAAATCTTCATGAATTGGGGGGTATAAACTTTCCCCAAATGATGGGTCTGATAGGTTTATAGATGTTTATAGCATTGGGCGAACCCCACATTGCTTGGCTGGTTCTACCATTTTTTACCATGGTTTCCTGTGAAATCCATGGAAAACCAGGACCCTGCGGCTCCGAAGTCTGTGAAGGGAGGAAACGTCTCTTGGCGACGGCCTTTTTTCGATGCTGGAAACATCTGGGAAACGCCATGCCATCCATGGCCTGATATTGATATAGGTATATGATAGGATTATGATAGGTAAACCTTGGATGGATAGTTTATGGTACTTTGATCTTTTGCGATGCATGGGGCTATTTTGAACTAAAATTCTTGGTTTTTTCAGCGCATCCAAGACTGGCCATGCATCTGGAAATATCTGGAATGATTTTGGGATAAATGACAGTGAATATTCTGAATGTACCATACATGGTCCATGGTACCAAGGAAGTCCATTTCTGACTGTTCGGGGGACATATAACATATAACGATCAGAAGTTGACGCATCCACATGGAGAGTCGTTTCTTGCCAACCTACGTCCTTTATCTCTCTCTCTCTCTATTTGCAAATGCAGACGCCTGGGTAGACAGGACGGGCAGATAGAGAGAACGAACAACTAGATGCAAAGGTACAAACAGGGCAAAGATTGCCTCGTACTGGAATGATGATTAGTGAGGGGAGTCATCCCCAAATGTTCTTATTTCAGCTATTTTCATCTATTTTCAGGTTGGTGAATTATATATATTGAATTATAGGAATTCAGCCAGAATCGTTGCATATTTGTAGCATATTGTAGTGTGATAAATATCATGTCAAATCACATTCCATCGTCACCTGGATGTGTCCGCCACAGAGGACTTGACGCAGCACATCTGCTACCCGAGGTCAGTTCTGAAAACCGGCGATTTATTCTGAAGGTTCTGCAGAAACATTTTGTATTTGGAAATTTAGACGACGCGTCTTGACATGATAGCCGTTGCAGCCGTTTCGTTTTATAGCGCCGTGTTTGTCAGATGCGAAATCCTATAGGAAAGACATTTAAAGACCAGCTTTTTTTGTTTATTCTTAACTTCCCATTGAAAAACATGTGCCAAACTTCGAAAGATCCGACCAACCATGACCCAGATAGCATTTTCCTCGTGTTTTGCTCAGGATGAGCAGGAAACTGTCGTCGACCATTTTGAGATGCAGAGAGCAGGCCCGGATGAGCTGATTTTTGCTCAGCACGAAGTTGGGGACTGTGCGGTGCTCAGGTGCTCATAATGTGCTGACAGCATTGGTGCTCAGTGCTTATGCGAAAGACTGAACTTTTAAGCTTCAGTGAGACCATACGCAAAATTTGAATATGATTTCAGGATATTTCAGGAGGATTACTGTACAAGTCATTGCGAAACTCATTCCAGGTATAGAAGTGTAACACACACACATACATATTATACCCTTACATGTGTTTTTATACAAGTGAAGCCGATACTGCTGGCCAGGCTTTGTCCTTGTGGCACCCCTGAGACAGACAGTGCGGGTTTTCAAAAACTGGTTATAGGTAAAACATTCATAAATCAACACTTTTCTATCTCTTCTGGGTATTGCTGCCTGGTGGATCTCATGTTACATCCAGTGGAAACCAGGGCCCTCTCAAACTGCTGATTTCCCAGTCAGCAAACTTAAAGAAACACGCTTAGCGGAGGCTATATTTCATGTAACATCCCATATTTTCCTGGTGAAACAGTGAAACACTCATATTAATGTGTTCCCCATGCCCATTTTTCCCACCATTTGAAAGATCCCAAGACTTTCGTGGGATCTCAACCTCCAACTAGATAGTGAGAAAGTTATATCATGTTATATCCCATAAAAAATGTATCCATGATTATTTATCCCCATGATATTATGGGCAGCTGAGGCTGGTACATCATCCAAAGCGGCATCTTCGAGGTTTGCGTGGACGACCGTGCCGTGCGCCAGCTGCGCGCGAAGCACAGCTTCGGGGAACTGGCGATGCTGTACAGCGTGCAGCCTGGCGACGTGAACCATGGGATTTAATCATGAAAAAACACACGCACACATATATATATATATATATACATTATATAATAGCTTAACCGTGAAAAATGTAGGGATTTAACAAAGAAAACATGGTGATTCAGCAATGAAAAATGATGATTTAGTATTCTTCTTAGTATGATTTCATCAAGAAGGTGGATCGGACCATCAAATATCATGGAAGACCAGAAGACCCAGCAACAAAGGAAGTGTTTGACCATAAAACGTGGGATCTGGGTGGAAAATGACAAGCTCACAAACACAGTGCCAGGGCCAGGTAGTACCATAAATGATAGAAATGGATAGACATGATGCTTAGTAGGGGGCTCGTCCCAAAATGTTTCAGCTATTGTGAGTTGCTGTGGTGGAAAATGACAAGCGACCAAAACATGATATTCTACTCTTCAAAGTATAGGTTGAAAGTTTCCTTCCTGAATATGAACAGCTTTGGACAAATTGATCATTTCATTTTGAGGATGGCTGGTGCCGCATGAGAAGCCAAGGGCCAGCAGTGGGTGGATTGCCCCGCCAAGGCCTAGAACGGCCACGGTCACGTGCAAGGAGAAAGGGATGCTGTGGAAGATGCATGCAGATCAATTCAGAGAGCCTCAGCTGGCAGATACCCTCCACTAATTTGACAGCTTGTTATGGAAATGATGCATCAATAGATTATTTACCTGTGAACAATGGTTATTTTCAATAGCAAATGGTTTAATTACCGGAGAGACACATCCAGCTGGTGTCGATGGTTATGACTACTTCACAGGCCATTACAGCTCCAAGTTGCAAATGAGTTTTCTGAATCGATGTTTGATCCATGTCACAGCTGATGGTTGTTTACTGCTCATCCCTTCCCATTATATAATATGGCATACCCATACATACCCCCATTTTAGAATTGTACTGGCCCTCTTTATGTTAGGGGCCCATATTGGGAATATGTGATTTCATATTGCCATATATTGGCTACCCATAGCTGTTTCCATCTCCTTTTCAGGATCATAACGCCCGTGTTTTTTCCCCCAGTTGATGACTGACCCCTTTGAAATTTCGGAATTTTCGCTCCGTATGCCATCGTTTAAGTATTGTTTAAGTCACCTTTCTCCTAGGTGTGCATGGAACAGCTGAGCGCGAAGAATATGAAGCGAGCGCGGCTTGAACTGCGCAGGAACTGGTGGGACTCAGGGGATCATCGTAACACAAAAATCAACCCGAAAGGAAAACAGATAGTTGTTGAATGTGTTTGATCATATTGAATCTATTCATGTATAGGGGCTTTCTTAAGGAAAACATATTATGAACACATATGAAAACATGATATGAAACATCATGCAGATGGAAGATTTACTATGATTTAGCTCAATGTCTGGAGTCTGGATAGTTCTAATCACGCCAGTTCTTAGCGTTTTCCCAAGTTGATGACTCAGGGCAACTTGCGAAGAAAGCAAATGGTAACGAGCGATCACGAGGGATTCAAAAACAGGTACTAGGATGTACTAGGATGTACTAGGATGTACTAGGATCTGGGTAAAATATAACGACCCCACTGCGACCTCACTGCGACCTCACTGCGACCTCACTGGAATCATGTTTAATAAGGGAAATCATCCCCAAATGGCCTTAATTCAGGTCAGTGAAATATTCTAATTTAAGTAGGATGTATACTAGGTACATATTCACCTTAAGGGCCTTCTGCTGACCTTCATCTTTCTGGGGATGTTGGAACTGAGTTTCCAAGGCTGGAATTCTTTGAGTCGGACAGCACCTTCCGACACATGTCCAAAGAGGAGAAGAGTATCCTCAGCACCGCCTGCTCAGTGCAGAACTTTGCCGCAGGAGAGGTGATCCTCCGGGAAGGCCATGGGAAACATGGGATGAGTCACTGATGAGGGAAAAAAATTGAAAGAATGGAATAAAGGACCATATCAATCCATATCATGGGATAAACCACCTATCAACTATGTTGATGGAAAAATTGCTGCACCAGTAGGTGGTTTATCCCATAACTTTGAGGCTTTCAATCATCCAAGGTGCTGCAGGATTCCCTTTTTTCACTGTATGGTATGCATAGATGTCCCAAAGTCAAAACCAACCAATAGGTAGGTAGATGATACAACCAATAGTATACCAAATCAGCCCGTCTATTTTTCCTAAAAGGACCATATTGATGGGATGATCAAATAGGTTAAAAAAAATGATCGTTTTGATTCAAGCCTTTTGAGGCGTTGGTGATCGTTTTTGGTTTTTGCAAATGGGAAATTCACCATTTGTTGAACCACCATAGGTCTCTATAGGATTTTTCTGATTTTTGTTGTGCCCTCTATCAAATCGACCTCAAGTAAATCCAAGAAACATGGGACCAGTCTTATCGCTGTGAAGCTGGAAAAGATGCTTGAAACCCTGACAGCCCGAGATTTCCCAGAAAATGGGCGCAGTTCCATAATATTTTGTAAGTTTAATATGTTTTCATCACCATGGCTCAAAAAATGGGCTAGCACGAAGATATTCTGCGAAATTGGGAGGCCTACGCACCCGCTGTGCCAGGTGAAGTGGGTGAGTGGATGTTCATCGTCACGGAAGGAACCGTGAAAATTGTCGATCAGCAACTCGACATTCCGTGGCAACACGATCAGCACGGGGGGATGGGCGTGGCATTTTTAGGCATTTGTTGCTACACCTGATTGGATGTGATTTCGGCATAGTTCGGCAACTTGAAGAATCTTCAGCAATCAATGGCTGGGGATTTACCCTCTGGTAGACTAACAAAACTATGATCTATGGAAAATCACCTATGGGAAAATCAACTATGAATGGCAATGTTCAATAGCTACGTAACAAATTACCAGAGGATATTTCTATTAATTTCTGATGATACGGCAACAATCCACGGGCCTAGTGCTCGGCAGAATAGGTTTGGCAACTCCGAAATCAAGAAGCCCGGTGCCTTGCTGGGAAGCTCTGGAGTGCCACTCGGTACAAAACGTAGAAATGCCACAACGGGAACCACTAACAAATTGAACAGTGCAAGAACAGTGCAAATATATGTGTTATTATGTGTTTATGTGTGTGTAATTACCAAAAATAATTGCAAGATAACCACGCAATGCAGCCCTATCTGATCTTATGAGAATAAGTGGTTATTTCAAGTCATCTAGCACGTCACCTCAAAAAGCCACAAATCCGGAGACGCTGTGGGAAGCTCCAAATTTCCAAGCCATGCAATGCCAACATACTCCAACCATCCATCAAGCTACCAATCCCAAGAACCATGTAAATCTCCGTCAGAAGATGACCAAAATGCAGATCGAAGTGTGATCCATTGAGGATGTACTCCAGTCTCAACTGCAGTGGGGCCACTGCAGTTGACAAAGTGTTGGGAGCCTCAGGGTCGAACTATGTCCAACTCGGTTGCTGATGTGCCAATCCCAGAATCGATTTAGATTTGGGAAACACATGCAGGACCCCAAACCGGCATTGGGTTTGCCACTACATGAGATGGTTTCATATGATTTCTATACTGTCCATGACCAATTTGAAGCAACTTTGCAAGAATCAATTCATTGAATGTTGATTCAATTTGATTCATCATTTTCAGTTTCTGTACTTTGTCCATATCTTTGTCCTATTTTTGCGAATGAATAAGGGCGGTTTTTGTCATACCCCAGTCTTGGTTCAACGCATTGCAGATCACTGGAACCCAACCGGGGCCCCAAGGACCTGCTTAGCTCTGGGCCGGAAATCGCTCGAGAGCCTGCTGGGTCCTGGTGGTAGCGTCTTGCGCCGAAGCGCCATCAAGGCGATGCTTATGGACAATGCCACCTGGATCCACCTGGCCATGGGGGAAATACCCTCTGGTAATTTAACATAGCTATTGAAAATGGCCATTTATAGTGGATATACCCATTAAAAATGGTGATTTTCCATAGTTATGTTAGTTTACCAGAGGGTATCTGAAATGGGACCCTAAAAACGATAACACATGATACGACAAGATGACGATGATGAATCGATGGGGGTGTTCCGTCATGGGAATATCATGGGATGAATGGATGGAATATTCTGTAATATTCTGTTTTTTCACCGCCAAAACTCACCATAAATGAAACATGCGGAGCTTCCACAGCCTACAGTGCCACATGGCCTCGGTCGAGGTTGAAAGCGTGGACTATTTCAGGCAGCTGACGGAGAAAGAACTCCATGATGTCGCTTCGCAACGGATTTTTGGTGGGTTTATCATGGTTATATCATATGGTTATATCATGGTTATATCATGGGTATATCGTGGTAAATGTGGGTTCGAGGAAGATGACTTGGCACGCAAAACGGTCACACACAAAAATCAACGGGGAATATGTGGCTACGGGATACCACAAGGCCACACCCATACGCCAAGTAAAAATTGCATTTTTTTGGTGGAAGGGAGGAATGGTCAGCCATGAAAGCCTATACTGTATTCTCCTATATAATAACTTGATATTAGTGTAGTATAGTGTAGTCGGAGTGGGTCAAGACTCGGTCACCAGCCCCAGACAGCCTCATGCGATCATTTCACGAGATGTTTGTCATGCATTTGGGCATTTTGGCCACCAAGGTTTTTGGGGTGAAAAAAATCGGACCTTACCTTGACCGCATTGTTTGATAATTTCACTTTCCGCAGGCTGTTTGGCACGAGAAAAGCCGTTTGATTTGCAATGGTTTGGACTCCCAGATCTTCGTTACTATACCATTTATTCACGGTTATAGACTATAGATGGTTATAAGTTATAATCTTAGTCATACCCCCTACTCCAACTCCTGTTGATATACCCTCTGGTAAACCAACATAACTATGGAAAATCACCATTGTTCATGTGTCAATCATCTATAAATACTATAAATGGTCCATATTCCATAGCTATGGTAGTTTACCAGAGGCTATCATGATATATCCCCTACACCGTTGTGATAGTTGATCCCGGTGTTTGGGTGAGCCATCCTTTAGGTGGTGGACCGATTTGAAGAAGCCTCTTTTTCAGCTGGCGCACCGTAGCGTGGTGAAAATTCAGGTGATGGACCAGGGTGACCCAGCTTGGACCGGGGAAGCCTTTGGGGATAGATACACATAGATACAATGGAACATGTTTAATGTTTATCGGATATAATGTAGTATATATGTATGGGATATATAAGTAGCAATAATAGGGATCTAAAGTGACAAATAGCAGGATGGATAATTCGATCCTATGGTAGTTTAACGGTTTGCCATTTAAAATCACAGTTTTTACGATGTTAGTAAATCATCAATAAAAAGGGGAATCTTGCAGATGTGAAATTACCATGCAGATGTGAAATTACCAGAGGGTAATCTAACTCATATCCACAAAATCCTATTACACAAACACATATCAAAACATATTAATCATGCGTATTATATATATATGGTGATTCAGATGTGTTTTTATTCTCCAACTCCAATTCGATGATTATTCGACAAATTCGATGTCAGGATGTAATTGCCGGCAAAAGGTGGTTCTGAGATGTGTGATCCACACCCTTGTGACCCTTGGACATTAGGATTGATTTTGCATTTGAACGTCTAGTTAGAACATGTTAGAACCCAACCTTCTGAACAACTTGGCAGCCCCTACTTTGGGGGCATTTTAGGAATCGCAAGTGGCGAATAAGCCGTAGAACTAGGGCCAGGGTATATCCTACAACTGGATGATGTCATATGTGCCAGGGTCAAATCTAGGATAAATTGCCTATACAAGGGGATGGTCATCAATCAATTACTGGAAGTTTTGCCAAAAACTCACCATGTTTGGGATGACCACGGCCCAATGAATCCAATATGTTTGACCATGGCACATAAGTGGATGAACAACCCATACCATCATCATCATCATCATCATCATAATCCTCATAATCCTCGTCATGTATAGATCTTCTTAACATGTACCAATTCAGTATGTCAGTATACCTCGAGGATTGTCTCTGCGGGAGCTCCAGCCCAGCTCCTGGTGGTGGTCGTCGGACAGGCGTCATATGGGATGTTACAGGGATTTTTTCTGGGATCTGATAGCCAATGGTTTTACCATGAAATATAGGGGGTTCCTGTAAATTTTCCCATCATCCAATTCTGTAAGATAGCATTTTTGATGGGTATTGAACCGAGAACAACGGATGTTCAAGTGGGATATTGTTGTATGCGATTTACCCTTTGGTAAGCTAAGTTTGCTATGGAAAATCATCATTGTTTGGGGGTCAATCAACTGTAAAGCACCATTTTCAATAGCAAATTGTCAAACTAAACAGAGGGTAGCCTCCAGTATATGGGAGAATCATGGGATAGTTATGATAGCCTCCAGTAGTACTGAAACCAAATAATATATCATTACAGGATAATATGGGATAACATCCAGTAAACTACCCTCTGGTAAACAAACATAGCTATTGAAAATGGCCATTTATGGTGGATTTACCCATTGAAAATGGTGATTTTCCATAGTTATTTTAGTTTACCGGAGGTAACAGTTCGCGAACTGGAAATCACGATGTTTAACGGCTAAAAGATCTATAGATGAACCATCTTCCATAGCTACGATAGTCTACTGGATATATTGCCGATGAGTCTGATCAGAACATGGCACATGATATTGCAATAGCCATCATCTTAAAACGGGGTATATCCCATTTGTTCCAATCTCATAAACACAAATAGGGGATGGTTTATGAAACTCCTACCACGGAAAAAAAACAAACAACGTTGCTCATTTGGTGTGAACACTGGCGTGAACCAAACCACCATGCGGCTGGCGCATGATATGATACTGAAACTCATTGACAGTCCTCAGTTTCTGAGTGCGTCTGAATTTCACGCCTCTGACTGGACCACTTGGTCGAGTCGAGCCATGACCATTTGAGCCCTATCATGAACCCTCCCAGCAAGTTATTTATTTGGGTACTATATAGTATATATATATAATTATATATATATAGAGATCCCATTTAATAATGTCAAGGACCATTAGCTGGTGGGCAAAAATCCGAACGGCTTGACTCACCGATGTTTGTTGGTCAAATTTCCTCCATTTTATCGCGTGAGATCATAGTGAGATCCTATCATTTCCCAACATTCCACATAACCACGTAAGTTTCGCAACTGTTATGTGGTTATAGTTTTCCATTCCCGTTGCTGTTGCATTGTGTTTCAACAATAGTGTGGCCGTCCAAACCACCCAAACAAGCCTTGCTTTTGTATTCTCCATGCTCAGGAAAATCCCATCCAAGTTCCAAGTATTCTGTCAATTCTGCCAAACAAATGGTTCACAATAAAAAAAATAAAAAAATATATATATATATATTTATAAATTATATATATTATGTATATCGTCACATTTTACCTGGGATTTTCCAAGACTTTCCAAGGATCTTGTGGGATTTCCATGGCTTTCCATCATTTTCTCAAGCCCTGGGCCCTGGGTTAGGTGGCCGTGATGGATCCAGAGACCGCGGGGCTCAATGATCTGGCGGAGATCGTTGCCCGGGAGCGGAGCTCAGCCGGAAAAAAGTTCAAATGGATCGACAGTTCGCATGGAAAGATGGTGATTGTACGATTTGGTCGTCAAGAATGATGATTTAGCAATCAACATGACTGACAATGATCATCATCTTTAGCAATGGAAAGATGATGATGATTTAGCAATCAACATTGTGATTAATAACCATGTATAATGATGTATAATGTATAACCATGAAAACTATTCAAAGGTGTGGACCAAAGCATAAACGAATGGGGTGTTAGCCAACAAGATTCATAAAAGGTGGTGAGTTCATGGTTCTGAACGCCTGTGCAGAAGATGGGCTACGAAACCGCACAAGACAAACACAGATATCCGCCACCATAAACCGATTGGCATGACCCATAATAATAATACTATACCCATGATTGCACAAACAACATTCAAACAACCAAATAAATCCAAATAATGTTTTTGGGTTGGAACATTGGATGGATGCTGGTATTCCTTTTGATTTTGGGTGAGTTACATTTTCATCGGTTGGGGTGGACATCTATTGCTTCCTAGGGATGTTCGCAACTCCAGTGGAAAGATTGTCGGCTAGGAGTCAGCTGAGTTTTCATGATCTTTCTTTGTTTTATTCTCACCATATTGGAACTGACTGCTTCTCAAAGACCCAATGTCAAAAGATGAGATTTCTCAGAAAAAATACTGAAAAACCATTAGCCTCCGCATTCAATGGGTGTGATTACGGGAACAATACGAGGCAAAAGCAATCTTTTAGAGGAGTCAAATCAGTCCAATGCCATGTTTCCTGCCTTTGGTTGGGCATTTTGGAAGGCCAGTTTCCATCGGGTGACCGAGGCCAAACATGTCCTGAAGCCGGGTCAGCTTCACGGTGCGCAGAGTTTGCTGAACAACACACCGATGGATTTCAGGCCCCATCGAAATCGCCATGGTGCAATGATGGCTTGGTAATAAGGAAATCTGGAGTGGTTTTCCTATGGTTTTCCTATGGTTTTCCTATGGTTTTCCTATGGTTTCCCTATGGTTTCCCTATGGTTTCCCTATGGTTTCCACATTTCGTAGGGATTTTTTGTTCCGACGAAGTTTGCGCCATTGATTTCTGGGTGAAGCCTCCTGGGAAGAGGCCAACACCCCAGGCTTTTGGGAGGGGATTCCTCTATATAGACATTGGATTTTTTAGATAATTCACTATAGGCTATACCAATATTTTGATAAATTATTATGTAATTAACTTAAATAACTGTATTTTACTATATATATATATTGTTGGATGTTCTTGGGTGTCCATTCCATCCTTATTGATGGATACTGCATGGGTCCCAGCCTTTTGACCCTCTTGTGTTTGTTTCCAAAATAAACGCAGGTTGGTGGCACTCGAAAACACCCAGCTCCACCGCGTGTCCTACAGCATGGTCACGCAAGTGCTTGGCGGTCATGAGCTTACACGGCGGGTTCAGGGCTTTATCATGCGCCCAGGAAATGACTGAGTCAGTACACAAGAAAATTGAAACATCTTGAAAAGATTTGAACAGTAGTCATGCAGTCTATCTTCAGCACCACGGGCCAACATGGAAGTTGTATGATACTTCGAGCCCGATGGCTGATGATGGCTGAACCTCCATGGCGATGGAGAGGTCCCATGAGGTTGACCCGCGATTCGAGGCGACCTGAACGAGATTGTGAGGATGAACGAAATCAAACGAGTTCTCGGTGACATCTTTTTGTTCAAAAATCTGCAGAATGATCAGATGGAAACTTGGTTAGACTCCATATAGGTAATATGATGTAATATGTCAGGCAAGTTGGGTTGCTGGAATCATTGGATTGGTTTACGGGGAAAAAATTGCCGGAACCCCCTATATATTTTAAAGGGAAAGCCATGGTTTCCTGTAGATTTTCCATGATCTTCCCTTTAACATCCTTTAATCTATTGATGGAAGACCGACTGTAGCTGGGTGCCATATTGAATTTGAATGAATTTGAAACACATCCTGCTCAGGAACGGGTCATTCGAAGCTTTGAGAGATGCGAATACGCTCGTGGTGAGGTGGTGGTCAAACAAGGCAACGAGGTGACTTGGGGCCAGATGGGAAACCCGGCGAATCGGCAATTCCGCCAAGTTCACTTGTTGAGGATTGTTTGAGACTATGAATATCTATGAATGTATGTGTAAATTGGATAAACATCACCAGAAAGTTCGGACAATTTGTTTGGCTTATATACTGTAAATGTGGTTAAATGTTAGATACATACATACATGTTTGATCCAGGGTGATCTTTAAGTTTTCCAATTTTACTAGTTGTATATTTCGCATCAATTTACCAGTTATACACCAGCGCTGTGATTTGAGGCCAACCACTTTTACCTCATTCAGAGTGGTGCCATTGGCGTCAGCCGTGACGGGCAACGTTTGCGCGGCCTGCTGAAATGGGACTACTTTGGGGAGCGAGGCCTTGGAACCCTGGGAACCGGACCTGGAGATGGGGTGAAAGCAATCAGTTATGGCTATGGTAATTTAACATAGCTATTGAACATGGCCATTTATAGTGGATTTTCCCATAAAAAATGGTGATTTTCCATAGTTATGTTAGTTTACCAGAGGGTATGGCTATGGTCACTAGAGGCCCCAGCTTTTGACCTCCCATTTGACCTTCGATCAAGAGACAGTGGGGACATGTGGGACCAAGAAACAAACACATTGGAATTTTGGATCCGCTTCCAGAAAATGAAAAGAGAATGAATAGAAAGTGGGACCTCGCTACCAAACATTTTGGTAGTAGAACAGAGGTAGAACCATTCAAAATGAGGGAACAATCAAACTGCAGCGGGGTAGAACCAGGGGTCATTAACATTCCTCAACTTATCAGGGGGTCCTGACAGGGTCCTGAACCCATTTCTTCTGATGTCTTTCGGGGGTTGCTAGCCACTGGCCCTTGAAGCCCGATGGGTGCAACGTGTAGCTGTCCACCACCCAAAAAAAAAGAACATAGTCATGAAACTGATGAATTGCAGCCGATGATTCTGGATGATACTTTTCCTTTTTGGCGGGCAAATATGATCAAATATGTACAACTGGCACCGGTGACTTTTTGCAGCGCGGATCAGGTCTCTTGCTGCAGGAAAATCGTTCAGCCACATGTGAAGCAGAAGAACCATCGATCCTTCTTCGGTTAGAGAAGGCGGTCTTCGCAGCACCTTGGCTCTCGAGTTAGAATAGATGAACAGACCATGCAACCGAATGCAATCGTGGATTTTGGGTCGCCAGCTTTTGTGCATAATTAACCAATTGTATCATATTGTATCATATTGGTTCATATTGTCAATATTGTATCCAAAGATGTTTGGGTGACCATGATATCCATGATTCAGTGAAAGGGTGCTAAAGGGGAAAGCAGTGAACTGGTCGGGTATGAATATGAAGTGGGTCAAACCAAGGCTTGCTGAGATCTGCCTGGTTGCAGCGACATGAGCCATGCTGATTTGAGACATCATACCTTGAGAATCCTAAGGACATTGTGGGTACCTTCCGCAAGGAACTTGAGCACCGCATGATGCTTCAAGATCTCAAAATCGTGGCTTGACAGCTTAAGGGCTGCAATGCTGCACCATCTAGGTTATTGAGACATTAACGAGACCCCCTTGAACGTCAAAGCGATATGCAAGTCATGCAATGGCCTGAAATTGCCTACACATAGTCTTGTAATCAATGTGTTTCTTTTTCTGGTTTGTAGGTTCACTATGCTTGCAATGTCGCTCAAATATACCTGCCACATGTTTCCTGTCCATTGCATCTAAACTTTAATTTTAATCATCAATCAACACATCATTAAAAGCATAATCCTAAGATAGCCCTCGGAGGATAAGTCAATCTGAATTAGTCATAATTATGTAAATGATATTACAATTAGCCCTGCCCTCAAGTATTTGAACAAAACTATGGAACATGACCATTTAGTGGTGGAGTTTTCAGTTGGCTTTGTTGAATCGCCCTATGAATCACCCTTTACATCCATTTATCATTAATTCTAATTTGTTTAGATTCCCCTTTTTTTTCTCCATTTTCATCAATTTTCAATGATATGTTTTCGATTTTCTTCACCATTTTAGATGGGTGAAAGTTTTGAAAGCAGTCATTTTTCCCATGCCCATACCTTTCCGCGGAACCAGGAGATGTCGGATCTCTACGTGAAGGCAGTGGTGGGTCGCGGATCATTCGGCCTGGTGAAGCTGGTCTACCACAAGCGGGACAAGCGTCTAGGGATGAAGTTAGTGCCGGAAATACATGGGGGGAAGGTCTTCACATTTGTATAAAATTATACATATAGATAGATGAGATGAGATCAGATGAGATGAGTTGAGATCAGATGAGATAAGATTAGATGAAATGAGACGAGATCAGATGAAATGAGATCAGATGAGATGATATGATATGAGATGAGATTATATGAGATGAGATGAAATGAAATGACATGAGATGAAATGATATGAGATGATTTGATATGAGATGATATGATCTGAGATGGTATGAGATGAGATTTATGAGATGAGATCAGATGAGATAAGGTCAGATGAGATGAGTTGAGATCATATGAGATGAGATGATATGAGATGACATGAGATGAAATGATATGAGATGATTTGATATGAGATGATATGAGATGAGATGGTATGAGATGGTTTGATATGAGATGATTTGATATGATATGAGATGATATGGGATGATTTGATACGAGATGATATGAAATGAGATGGTTTGAGATGCGTTGATATGAGATGATTAAAATGAGATGAGATGAGATCAGACGAGATGAGATCAGACGAGATGAGATGAGATCAGATGAGATGAGATCAGATGAAATGAGATGAGATCAGATGAGATGAGATGATATGATTGAGATGAGATGATATGATGAGATGAAATGATATGATGAGATGAAATGATATTAGATGAGATCACATGGTGTGATATGAGATGAGATGATATGATCTGAGATGATATGAGATGAGGTTACATGAGATGACGTGAGATGCTATTATATAGATGAGATGAGATGATTTGAGATGATATGAGATAAGATGATATAAGATGATCTGATATGATATGATTTGAAATGATACTATATGAGATGATATGATATGAGATGAGATGATATGAGATGATATGATATGATATGAGATGAGATGATATGAGATGATATGAGATGATTTGATATGAGATGATTTGATATGAGATGAGATGATATGATTTGATATGATATGTTTTGATCTGAGATGATATGAGACGATTTTATATGAAATGAGATCAGATGAGATGAGATCAGATGAGATGATGTGATATGAGATTAAATGTTACAGTATGAGATGATATGAGATGAGATCAGGTGAGATGAGTTTAGATCAGATGAGATGAGATGAGATAACACGAGATGATATGATATGAGATAAGATGATTTGATATGAGATCTTGGCACTCTTTTTCTTTTTGGCGTAGTTAGACATTATGCTGCGCTTTTCACAACTCTTTTTGGCCTGGAGTACATCCAAACCAGTGTACTGTCCATATTGGACAGAGGGCTTTTGACCTTGCTGCACCGAAAGATGAGATGATATGAGATGAGATGATTTGAGATTATATGATATGCGATGAAGTGATTTGAGATGATATGAATGATATGAGATGATATGAGATGTTTTGTTAGGATATGATATGATTTGATACGAGATAATTTGATTTGAGATGAGATGAGACGAGATGATATGATATGAGATGAGATGTTATGATATGAGATAATATTAGATGATATGATATGAGATGAGATGAGATGAACTGATTTGATATGAGATGAGATGATATGAGATGAGATGATATGAGATGAGATGTTTTTGTTATATGACAATGAGATGTTATGATATAAGATGAGGTATTTTGAGATGATATGAGATGAAATGATATAGGATGATTTGATTTGAGATGATATGAGATGAGATGTTATGATATGACATTGTATGAAGTGAGATGAGATGTCATGATATGAGATGATATGAAGTGAGATGAGATGAGAGGTTATGATATGAGATTATATGAGATGAGATGTTATGATATGAGATGATATGAGATGAGAGGTTATGATATAAGATGATATGGGATGAAATGATATGTCATGATATGAGATGACATACATACATATTTATATATTTACAGTTGCGTAATTTGAGCAACCAAAAAATATACCGTTCGGGGATGGGTGTTAGGTAACACCCATAACAATGGATTAACACATTTACATGTATATGTGTTCATGGTATAGAGTATCATAACTATACATGTATCTATCTGAATCTAATTATGCATATATGTTCACATGCACATATGATATCTACCTCATGTTCATTCTATCTTTCTATCTATATCTGATAGTCTATCTAGATTTGTTTGGTTTTCTTTTTTTCTTTCTATTTTAGATTGTATAATGTGCAGTGTCAAAATGTACGGTCAACCTTCCCCTGGATGCGCATGCGAGATCGCCAATATTTGAATCAGTTCCCTCTCTTTTCGACAATCTGGCGCGCTTAGAAGCTGAGGCAAAAGTACTATGCCTTGAAATGCATTGGCAAGAAGCAGGTGGTGCAGCAAAAGCAGGAGAAATCCATGCTCTTAGAGCGTGAGATTAACTCCCAATGCTACCACCCTTGCATCATGCACTTCATCACGACTTTTCAGGCGCTTCATGGGTCAGGATTTGAGCAAGTGGATGACTTATTTAACCTGACCATCAGTGAGCTAAATGCTAATCAGTAATCTATAGTTAGTATAGTTAGCTACCTGTTTATTGAATATGCAACTTCGATCACATGCATTACACACATGCACATGCACGCAAAGCGCTATATATGTGTGATAAGTATATACGTATATATATATATATATGTATTCTAATTACAATATATATATATAATGTATGAATGATATATATATATATATGATATATGTATGTAAATGTATCCCCATAATTCTACATAATTATATGCACATCTATGCAGATTTTGAACAATGTCGGCCAAACAAAAAAGGACGGCAAGAACGTCTACTTCCTCACCGAGTTCCTGGGAGGTGGTGATTTGTTCACCGCCATCCGTGAGATCGGCAACCTCAGCAAGAGGCAAGCGCAGCGCCTCGGAGAGAGACTGGGGGATGGGGCCGCCCGGCTGGGGACTGGCTAGATACCAACTAGCACTTTATTTTTTGGCAATCAATGGTGAAATGTACTAACATGTACTAGCCAGCTAAAATACTCTAAAATAAAATCAGTTTTTTTTTAAATGTTTTGCCAGGTATCTAAGATTCACCATGCAGAGATATGGCTATTTTTCATAGGGACAATGATGAACAACCATTTGCAGACACACCCATATAAATAGAAATGTGGATATGTGTGTATGTAAATATAGTTCGGTATTTATCCATCTAGATATGTGATTATAGTATGATGTTATACATGGTCTATGGAGCTTTTAGGTATGTATATTGATTGGTGGTATTGAAATGTTTTGAATGTATTTGTTATTTGATGTTATGTGCATCCCTATATCCTGGGATGATGATACTAATTGACGGTCATTCTTTTCTTGAGAAGTGGAGGAACTTCGATCCAGTTCGACATGCACACAAATCGGGAGAAATGATATAGGATGGGGCCCTATAGTTAGCTAAGTTGGTTATTTAAGGGCTGCCGCCCCTGCCGCCGACCCCGGTAAAGAATCGGGGATTGCTGGTGAAACAGGCAAGCTGTGTGACGAGAAACTTTGGCAAATGCATTATCACATGCAGGATCATGCACGAAGGGCTATGTGCGTAACTGGTGCAGCTTTCGGATCAATTGCAGTAAGGTGCTGGCTGCATGACGAGACAGTTGAATTAGAAGCTTACTCTGAACCCAACAACACATCTATGTGCATATGGGCCAAGAGACATAAGACCAAATTGCCCAAAACACCACCTAATTTCATGCCAAAAATGATGTAAAATCCGTCGTAATAACAAATTCCCCGGAGGCCGAAACAGCCCTTCTGAGCTCCGACTAGAAATCCTGACTCCTGCTGCTGTCTAAAGCAAGAAACTAGCAGCCTAACACCATTTGCGAAACATAGCCGAAACCAAAACACCACCGACTTTCGTGCCGAAAATGACGCAAAAGCAGTCGCAATCACAAGTTCCCCGGAAGCCAGTTGCAATAACAAGCTTCCCGGGGGCCGAAACGTCCCTTCTGAAATCCTACTAGATTACTAGAAATCCAATTGTGTCCAATTTTTTTCTCAAATTTTGACTGCTGCTGCTACCTATAATAAAGCAAGAAACCAGCAGCCAGAGACATTTTTTAAAACACAGCCGAAACAGCAAAACACCACCTAATTTCACACCGAACATGACGCAAAATCAATCACAAGAATAGGTTTTCGGGGGCCGAAACGTTCCTTCTGAAATCCTACTAGAAATCCAATTTTGTCGAACAGAAATCCAATTTTGTCTAATTTCAATCTCTAATTTTGACTGCTGCTGCTGCCTATAATAAACCAAGAAACCAGCAGCCAGACACCTTTTTTGAAACACAGCCGAAACAGCAAAACACCACCTAATTTCCTGCTGAACATGACGCAAAATCAATCACAATAATAGGTTTTCGGGGGCCGAAACGTCCCTTCTGAAATCCTACTAGAAATCTAATTTTGTCCAATAGAAATCTAATTTTGTCCAATTTGATCTCTAATTTTGATTGCTGCTGCTGCCTCTAATAAAGTAAGAAACCAGCAGCCAGACACCTAATTTGGTGCCGAACATGACGCAAAATCAATCACAATAATAGGTTTTCGGAGGCCGAAACGTCCCTTCTGAAATCCTACTAGAAATCCAATTTTGTCCAATAGAAATCTAATTTTGTCCAATTTTGATCTCTAATTTTGATTGCTGCGGTTGCTTCTATATAAAGCAAGAAACCAGCAGCCAGACACCTTTTTTAAAACACAGCCGAAACAGCAAAACACCACCTAATTTCGTGACGAACATAACGCAAAATCAATCACAATAATAGGTTTTCGGGGGCCGAAACGTCCCTTCTGAAATCCTACTAGAAATCCAATTCTGTCCAATAGAAATCTAATTTTAGTCAAATTTGATCTCTAATTTTGATTGCTGCTGCTGCCTCTAATAAAGCGAGAAACCAGCAGCCAGACACCTTTTTTAAAACACAGCCGAAACAGCAAAACACCACCCAATTTCGTGCCGAACATGACGGAAAATCAATCACAATATTAAGTTTTCGGGGGCCGAAACGTCCCTTCTGAAATCCTACTAGAATCTAATTTTGTCCAATTTTGATCTCTAATTTTGACTGCTGCTGCTACCTATAATAAAGCAAGAAACCAGCAGCCAGACACCTTTTGTAAAACACAGCCGAAACAGCAAAACACCACCTAATTTCGTGACGAACATAACGCAAAATCAATCACAATAATAGGTTTTTGGGGGCCGAAACGTCCCTTCTGAAATCCTACTAGAAATCCAATTTTGTCCAATAGAAATCTAATTTTAGTCAAATTTGATCTCTAATTTTTTTTGATTGCTGCTGCTGCCTCTAATAAAGCGAGAAACTAGCAGCCAGACACCTTTTTTAAAACACAGCCGAAACAGCAAAACACCACCCAATTTCGTGCCGAACATGACGGAAAATCAATCACAATATTAAGTTTTCGGGGGCTGAAACGTCCCTTCTGAAATCCTACTAGAAATCCAATTTTGTCCAATTTTGATCTCTAATTTTGACTGCTGCTGCTACCTATAATAAAGCAAGAAACCAGCAGCCAGACACCTTTTGTAAAACACAACCGAAACAGCAAAACACCACCTAATTTCGTGCCGAACATAACGCAAAATCAATCACAATAATAGGTTTTCGGGGGCCGAAACGTCCCTTCTGAAATCCTACTAGAAATCCAATTTTGTCCAATAGAAATCTAATTTTAGTCAAATTTGATTGATCGCTAATTTTGATTGCTGCTGCCACCTCTAATAAAGCAAGAAACCAGCAGCCAGACACCCTTTTTAAAACACAGCCGAAACAGCAAAACACCACCCAATTTCGTGCCGAACATGACGGAAAATCAATCACAATATTAGGTTTTCGGGGGCCGAAACGTCCCTTCTGAACTCCTACTAGAAATCCAATTTTGTCCAATTTTGATCTCTAATTTTGACTGCTGCTGCCTATAATAAAGCAAGAAACCAGCAGCCAGACACCTTTTTTAAAACACAGCCGAAACAGCAAAACACCACCTAATTTCCTGCCGAACATGGCGCAAAATCAATCACAAGAATAGGTTTTCGGGGGCCGAAACGTCCCTTCTGAAATCCTACTAGAAATCCAACTTTGTCCAATAGAAATCTAATTTTGTCCAATTTGATCTCTAATTTTGATTGCTGCTACTGCCTCTAATAAAGTAAGAAACCAGCAGCCAGACACCTAATTTCGTGCCGAACATGACGCAAAATCAATCACAATAATATACCAATGTTTATAGTTTTCGACCAATGTTTATACTACTGTTTGTTGCTGCTGTTGCCTCTAATAAAGCGAGAAACCAGCAGCCAGACACCTTTTTTAAAACACAGCCGAAACAGCAAAACACAACCCAATTTCGTGCCGAACATGACGGAAAATCAATCACAATATTAAGTTTTCGGGGGCCGAAACGTCCCTTCTGAAATCCTACTAGAATCCAATTTTGTCCAATTTTGATCGCTAATTTTGATTGCTGCTGCTACCTCTAATAAAGCAAGAAACCAGCAGCCAGACACCTTTTGTAAAACACAGCCGAAACAGCAAAACACCACCTAATTTCGTGCCGAACATAACGCAAAATCAATCACAATAATAGGTTTTCGGGGGCCGAAACGTCCCTTCTGAAATCCTACTAGAAATCTAATTTTAGTCAAATTTGATTGATCTCTAATTTTGATTGCTGCTGCTGCCTCTAATAAAGCAAGAAACCAGCAGCCAGACACCTTTTTTAAAACACAGCCGAAACAGCAAAACACCACCCAATTTCGTGCCGAACATGACGGAAAATCAATCACAATATGAGGTTTTCGGGGGCCGAAACGTCCCTTCTGAACTCCTACTAGAAATCCAATTTTGTCCAATAGAAATCTAATTTTAATCAAATTTGATCTCTAATTTTGATTGCTGCTGCTGCCTCTAATAAAGCGAGAAACCAGCAGCCAGACACCTTTTTTAAAACACAGCCGAAACAGCAAAACACCACCTAATTTCGTGCCGAACATGACGGAAAATCAATCACAATATTAAGTTTTCGGGGGCCGAAACGTCCCTTCTGAAATCCTACTAGAATCCAATTTTGTCCAATAGAAATCTAATTTTAGTCAAATTTGATTGATCGCTAATTTTGATTGCTGCTGCTACCTCTAATAAAGCAAGAAACCAGCAGCCAGACACCTTTTTTAAAACACAGCCGAAACAGCAAAACACCACCCAATTTCGTGCCGAACATGACGGAAAATCAATCACAATATTAGGTTTTCGGGGGCCGAAACGTCCCTTCTGAAATCCTACTAGAAATCCAACTTTGTCCAATAGAAATCTAATTTTGTCCAATTTGATCTCTAATTTTGATTGCTGCTACTGCCTCTAATACAGTAAGAAACCAGCAGCCAGACACCTAATTTCGTGCCGAACATGACGCAAAATCAATCACAATAATATACCAATGTTTATAGTTTTCGACCAATGTTTATACCACTGTTTGTTGCTGCTGTTGCCTCTAATAAAGCGAGAAAACAGCAGCCAGACACCTTTTTTAAAACACAGCCGAAACAGCAAAACACCACCCAATTTCGTGCCGAACATGACGGAAAATCAATCACAATATTAAGTTTTCGGGGGCCGAAACGTCCCTTCTGAAATCCTACTAGAATCCAATTTTGTCCAATTTTGATCTCTAATTTTGACTGCTGCTGCTACCTATAATAAAGCAAGAAACCAGCAGCCAGACACCTTTTTTAAAACACAGCCGAAACAGCAAAACACCACGTAATTTCGTGCCGAACATAACGCAAAATCAATCACAATAATAGGTTTTCGGGGGCCGAAACGTCCCTTCTGAAATCCTACTAGAAATCCAATTTTGCCCAATAGAAATCTAATTTTAGTCAAATTTGATTGATCTCTAATTTTGATTGCTGCTGCTGCCTCTAATAAAGCAAGAAACCAGCAGCCAGACACCTTTTTTAAAACACAGCCGAAACAGCAAAACACCACCTAATTTCGTGACGAACATAACGCAAAATCAATCACAATAATAGGTTTTCGGAGGCCGAAACGTCCCTTCTGAAATCCTACTAGAAATCCAATTTTGTCCAATAGAAATCCAATTTTATCCAATTTTGATCTCTAATTTTGACTGCTGCTGCTGCCTCTAATAAAGCGAGAAACCAGCAGCCAGACACCTTTTTTAAAACACAGCCGAAACAGCAAAACACCACCCAATTTCGTGCCGAACATGACGGAAAATCAATCACAATATTAAGTTTTCGGGGGCCGAAACGTCCCTTCTGAAATCCTACTAGAAATCCAATTTTGTCCAATTTTGATCTCTAATTTTGACTGCTGCTGCTACCTATAATAAAGCAAGAAACCAGCACCCAGACACCTTTTTTAAAACACAGCCGAAACAGCAAAACACCACCTAATTTCGTGACGAACATAACGCAAAATCAATCACAATAATAGGTTTTCGGGGGCCGAAACGTCCCTTCTGAAATCCTACTAGAAATCCAATTTTGTCCAATAGAAATCTAATTTTAGTCAAATTTGATCTCTAATTTTGATTGCTGCTGCTGCCTCTAATAAAGCGAGAAACCAGCAGCCAGACACCTTTTTTAAAACACAGCCGAAACAGCAAAACACCACCCAATTTCGTGCCGAACATGACGGAAAATCAATCACAATATTAGGTTTTCGGGGGCCGAAACGTCCCTTCTGAACTCCTACTAGAAATCCAATTTTGTCCAATTTTGATCTCTAATTTTGACTGCTGCTGCTGCCTATAATAAAGCAAGAAACCAGCAGCCAGACACCTTTTTTAAAACACAGCCGAAACAGCAAAACACCACCTAATTTCCTGCCGAACATGACGCAAAATCAATCACAAGAATAGGTTTTCGGGGGCCGAAACGTCCCTTCTGAAATCCTACTAGAAATCCAACTTTGTCCAATAGAAATCTAATTTTGTCCAATTTGATCTCTAATTTTGATTGCTGCTACTGCCTCTAATAAAGTAAGAAACCAGCAGCCAGACACCTAATTTCGTGCCGAACATGACGCAAAATCAATCACAATAATATACCAATGTTTATAGTTTTCGACCAATGTTTATACCACTGTTTGTGCAATGAGACATAGAACCCTCCTGTTGCTCCTGTTGCTGCTGCTGCTCATGGCCACCACTTGAAACGCTGAAACGCCACCTAATTTCGTGCCCAAAACGCTCCAAAATCGAGCCCAAAAAGTGCCTAACGTCCCTTCTGAAATCCTAGGAAAAAAAAGGACTGCCTTTGTGATGATGACCGTCTTGTCAAACACCTTCTATTTCCTCCTGCTGCTGCTGCTGCTCCTGCTCCTGTGACTCCTTCTGTTCAAAAGGCACCTGCCGGATGGGAAAACACCATGGCAGTAGTAGTAGTAGTAGTAGTAGTCCGAAACAAGAGTCAAAAGTATTATTCCCTGGCACGCTCCCCCTTGCGTCTGCCGGGGTCGGCGGATATTGACTGCTGGCTACTGGCTGGGTGCTGCTGTCTTATTCCCTAATGCGCTCCCCCTTGCGCAGCCGGGGTCGGCGGATAACTATAATAACAATAGTGTATGATACTTATAATCATATTTAGATGGGGCTATAAACCAACTTATAACTGGGGGGGCCCATCCCGTGGGATGGTAGATAATCTTGCTGTTTTTTGGGTGGAGTCCGAGTTTCACTTTTTTGCAAAATGCGGCGCACATAAGCTCTTAGTAATCATCGGTTCGCATGTGTCATCCGACTTACAAACTTACATTCCCATAGAAAGGTTGGGATATTCCATATATAACACCTGGATACACAGGGTATATTCCATATATTAGAACATATATCCTGCAGTGAGGTTTTATGGTGGCTGCATCACTTTAGCTTTGGAGTACCTTCATGCGCGCTCCATCATGTACCGGGACTTGAAGCCCGAAAACGTGGTTCTGGACTTCCGGGGCAACGCCAAATTGGTCGACTTTGGCTGTTGCAAGATGCTTGGCCAAGGGTCATATGGGGGTTATAAAGCCATGGTGTCACAATGGTGGTAACCTCCATACCCTCTGGTAAACTAACATAGCTATTGACAATTGCCATTTATAGTGAGTTTTCCCATTAAAAGTGGTGATTTTCCATAGTTATGTTAGTTTACCAGAGGGTAATGGGACCCTCTATACGACTATGGTTGGTGGTAAAATTTTCCACTTTCTCCAACTGTACCCCCAAGTATGGTGGTCTCCTGCAGGATGTTGCTAAAGTCGCTGGAAATTGCTGGTTATTTTGTGGGTGCCACACTTTTGCAATCTCCCTAAACCAGAGCCAGCTGATCATGCCACATGATTTTAATGATTCAAATGATGAATAAGCTGGATGATGAGATGATTTGCAGTGTTTTCTGCCAGATATTGCCAGATTTCCAAGACTTAAACCTGATGTTCCTTTTCAGGCCAAGGGGAATTTCTATAGACCTTGGCGAGGATAAATTGCGACCCACCATTCGCCCACCATGCTACTACAACTGGTGCCGCCCAGTTATAAGTTGGTTCATAAACGCATCAAGTACGGTAGTTCGATATGCATCCCATGACCTTCCATATACCTCCCATAAACATCCATAAACATCCACAAACATCCATGAACATCCATAAACCCTAGTGAAATGTGAGTTTTAAGGTTATAATCCAGCTTAGCTAAAGACCTTGGTCATTTTTTCAAAGTTTCCGTTCAGGAAGTCACTCCAATCGAATACACTGGTTGGAACTCCTGAGTACTTTGCTCCTGAGAGTATCATCGGAAAAGGCGCGGCGCCGGCATGGCGACTGGCATGGGATATGATGACATGTCGATATATAATGTAACATGATTGTATATTTAACAATAAATCATGAGATGATGAATGTCAATGTAACAATAAATCATGGGATGGATGTAAATTTATGTATATTCAAAGCATAACAAACATGTGCGAAACATTAAACAAGAAAATAAATTGCTGCTTCCGTATGGTAGTGAAGAATTCCTTACAAAATCAATGATTGGAACTGGAGAAACCACCATTTATTTCTGGCCTTTGGGGTTTCAAGGCAATACGTAATTAAAAAGACCCTTTGGATCGTTCAAGAGCCCGGCTGGGGTCAAAGTTTTGCACTGACTGCATTCTATTTAGAGAAATTTAGAGTTCCTTTGCACGGAAACATTCGGCCAAAGGACAGTACCTCAACTACTTTGGTAACGGGTTGGATTGCTGTTTTACTTGTAGCATAGAGTGCCATTTCACTCCCGGTTTGACTGCAGACGGATTTGTTCGTGGAAAACATCATTCTGCAGTTCCATGTTCAGTTTCAGCATCAGTATTTGTTCCAGTCTGTACCCAGTTTTTCCTTTTAATTTTCTTCCAAAGTTTTCTTATGTTTTTGTTCTATCCCTACTTGAGACACTGTTTCTCCCAACTTCAACGAGTATACGTTTGGGGGGCTGGAACCGGCTTGAAACCATCAATCAGCCTCAGTGCTGGTTGCAACCCAATCCCACCAAAAAAAACTCATCATATAATATATAAGTATATATATAATTATATATATATATATATTATACACATATACAAAGTGTAGCCAGTTATAGATTATAAATGTTACAAGTCCTATTCTAGAAGCTCCCTAAGCATAATCTATACATTCAGTCGTTTCTGAGGCATGAGAGCCAGGGTGCCTTTTTTGTTTCTCGAGAAATTATAAACACAACTGCTAGAACTTCCCTACCAGATCGGGGTCAAACTCAGAAGCCCTGGCTGATTGATTCGTTAGGAGGTCACGCCAGGTCACGCCCATTGGTATCTCGTGATCAAACCATGGGTTTTTTAAAATCCCGGCTTCACGTTCACCAAGGGTAATGTTATATGTCTATATGGACCGAATTCGATAGAATAGCGATTTTACTCTATGTTGATTACCAGAGTACCATCTACATCATTTACTGCGTATTTTGTTTCAACCAATGATTCCTTGGTGGTTTGAAATTCTGCGAATGCTCCCTTTCATAAGAAAAGCCGTGAATTCTAGAATTCTAATCCACGAACCAACCCACCAGCTAACTCAACTTCAGTGCACCACATTGAATTGGATAATCAGCCCATGACCAAAATGGTTTGGATGACTCTTGATGTTTGGATCACAGAACATTGCTGTCGAAAATAATGCAAGCAAATTCATTACCATCATTGATTCAGCTCTCCATCATATCAGTATATAATGATATTGCATATTTAATATAGACGCGCACATACATATATAGATATTTAGTATATTATATATATATATATTACATACCACAAACACACACGCACACACACACTCTTGATCAGAACTGTCGTTGCGAATTTTGCTGTGGAATGCATCGGACGTGCAAACAACACAATAACAAAACACGATGAGATGAGCCTAGATATATATATAATCACAGTAGACGTTAACAGTATAAAACAAACAGCGATAAAATATATGTCCCCCCAGCTGCAACTTAGATGCACGCAGGGGCGGGACTACACATATAAAATATATATATAATGCAGGTACGTTTTCACAGGCACATTGCAGCGTTTTTGTTGGCCGCTGACTGCAATGTTCCCCAGCGGCCCCCTGCAGTAATAAGAAGTTTTACATTTATTCAGATGGTACACACACATGTATATATATATCATTATATATGTTATATCACACGAATATGTATGTGTATTTATATATATAGATATTTATACATCATATATATATATATATTTGTATATATATATATACCAACATGTTATTCATGGCTACTGTTGATCCATCCAGTTGTGAATGGAGGGAGCTGTGATTGGAAAAATGGGCATCCAAATTCGGGAGCCAAACGAGGGAATGGCAAATCCTCAATCGGAAAATCCATGAAAATCCACTATAAAATGCAGGATTTTCGATTGTCACGTTTGAGTACTGGAGGGTAACTGCAATTATCAGTTTGTTTTGTGGCCTTCCGTGGTGTCATCAAGCTCAGTGGAAGTGTTCAGCTCGTCTCACTCGATATCGTTCAGATGTTGTAAAATGAGACCCAAGTTGACTCCCCAACCAATGCCTCTTTTGACTGCAATTGTTTCATTGCCATGTTTGTTTTCTGATTCTTGAGTAGAAGATGATAGTGATAGTGATAGTGATAGAATGCGATAATTACAGCAAAGAATAATTTATTGCCAAGTTGTTCGTCATTGATTTGGGTCGTTGCAGGCTACACATGCGCCGTCGATTGGTGGGCCTTAGGGGCTCCTCAGCCGCACGTGACGATTCTTTTGTCCCTCTTCACCTGTCATCTTCTCGCCTACTCTTGTACAGTATTTTACAGTATTTGTTCTTTTATAGTTTGAGCTATCATTTATCCCAAGTTAGGGTAAACCATTTATCCCAAGTTGGGGGTAAACTACTGTAACTGTAACAGTTGTGGAAAATCCACGATGATTTTCCGATTTCCAGGTGATGATGCATGAGTTCATCGTGGGGCCTCTTCCTTTCGGCCGCTTGGTGGAACCATGTTGGAACCGTGGCGGAATCGTTTTCTACGTAATTTTCTAAGAACATTAATAACAATGATAGTACGCATCATGTCAAAATTTGTGATTTTGGAAATGTATAAAACGCAATTATAGATGTACGGTCATTACAATGGTAAGATCGATGTCATCATCACATATCATCACCATAGACCCTTCTATTTAATATGAAACACCCCCGAGAAACCATGGTGGACCTATGGGAGAACTCCACGGGCGAAGCTGAGGCAGAGACACCGATGATCAATTGCAACTTCTCAAAGAAATCATGGAGGCATTGGTTTTTTTTTGGGGCAAATTGGTGTAAATCTGCGTTTTTTGGTGCAATGTGTGTGTGTGTTTTTTTAAATCTGTAAAACTGGATTGATTCATCAATGTGGTGCATCAATGGATTGGCTTAAAGATGTTTAAAGGAAAGTTTTAACAGGAAATCAGGATGTATTTGACCCCCAAATAAAGGGTTATATGTAACCTGCATTTGTTTCCTCAATCCAATGCTGGGAAGGGCTTATGGTAAAATCAGGGTTTGGGCATGTGGAAGTTTATTTGCTTATATTTGATCATCATTTGTGGATACGGAAATTCAATAAAGGTATGGGTCAAAAAAACTGGTACTAGTCAGTACTAGTACCCTCTGGTAAACTAACATAACTATGGAAAACAACATTTTTTTAATGGGGAAATCCACTATTTGTATGGCCATGTTCAATCGATTTTTGTCTGTTTACCAGAGGCTACGGGGACCTCAACATACCGGGTGATCCCTGGATGGATAGATGGATGGATGGATGGAGGGAGGGGAATTGTGATCTGCGCCAGGCACCATTGGCATTCCCCAGCTACATCACGGACAAGACAGCCATTAGTTACTTGTCTCAATGCATCAGTTGGCTCGATTGAATTTCAATCCCCCACCCTTTTGTCCTATAGCTTCCCATGGATTGAAAGAAAAATCTGGAGTCAACCTTCGTTCTTACCTCAAATTTCTTCCTGTAAAATATATCATTGATTTTAAAGCAAGGGAAAATTCTGGTGAAAAGGTTTCATTGTTGTTAACATGAAATTCCCATAAAATTGATGAAAATTCGCCCATTCCATCCATTCCATCCATTCCATCCATTCCAGCCATTCCATCCATTCCATCCATCCGTCCGAGGCGTCATTTCGCAACTCTTGGAACGGACACCAGAGCTCCGACTGGGAGCCTCCTCCCGTGGAGCCAAGGAGCATCATGGGTGACCAGCCAATCATTGCGACCGTTGATTAGTGAACTTGATGATTCTTGTTGATGGCAATTTATATATATATTTATATACTAAACAGCACCTGTTTCCAAGATGTTAAACAAGAAGAAGAAGAAGAAGAAGAAGAAGATATCATTGACTTGCGAGGACCTGCAAGAGCATCCCTACTTCGCAGGCTGAGGGTTGGTGAAGATGCTGGGAGAAATCAAAACGGGAGTTCTGCCTTGAAACTCAAAAGGAAAACCGATCTTGAACCGGGCGATTCCCACTTCCATACTTGTAGCAAAATTAAACCCATATTTCCTCACATTTGGACAATCCAACTATCCTAATTTTTGTTTTAAATGTAGGACTTGGGTATACCTGACGGTCTTTAGCAAACCCTTCAGCAATCTGTACCCAGCCGCGTGGTCGCACCAATCATGTGCAGAGAGCAGGGGGATCGAAATCGCAGCCCTGCGACATGTTTGGTTTTGACATGAGATCATTCTTGTCAAACAAATTGTGACAACGAAGTGTGGAGGAATGTGAAGGATATGTACAGTAAGCGGGTGTGGGACAAAACATTGGAACCAGAATCGGAAGTGAAGTGGACAAGTTTCAGGTTCCTTCTCAAGTTCCATCCCTTCCGTAAGACGATCCTCATTCCAAAGCATCAGCCACATGGGATGACGATCCCCAAGTTCCAGTGAAGGTGGTTTCCAGACTTTTTCTGCTGTGCATTCCTGGGATGATGGTCCCCTACCAAAGTCTTTTACCCGCCTCGGAGGCTTCAATTGGAATGGCCTGGCGGGCCAGTCGGTGCCTGCACCCTGGCTTCCAGATCGCCGGAAGATCCAGGCGCGCAATTTATGAGGGTAACCATCCCAGAATAAAGAATTTTTAAAGAATTTGCTTCTGGTTTTGGTGGGAACACGTGGGTTTACGATCAAGGAATGGCATATGGATGCATGCGTATACATATAATATATATATAATTATATATATATGTGTGCGTGTGTGTAGTTTGATGCAGCCTATCACCTATTTGGGCCATGTAGGCCCACACCGTGCCAGGAGTCTTGGGAAATACCGCAGGATGCTGGAAAACCAGTTTGTCCGGAACTAGGCGGGGTTGGCTTAGGCACTTGAGGACCACACAGTTAGGACATTAGGATACATTAGGTGCCAGCCGTGGCCTTGTCAACTTTTTGTTTGGTTGATGAATTTGATTTGGTAGCTATGAAATATATTGAAATGTATTGCTGGTTGGTGGTTTGGAACATTTTTTTTCCATATATTGGGAAGAATAGTCCCATTTGACTAATATTTTTCAGAGGGGTTGAAACCACCAACCAGGTATGTATTGAAATCATATCCCACTAAGACAAGAGCTTTTCCGTAGGATACCCAAGGTGCAGACCATCAACTGCGCAGCCAGGCAATGATGATTCTATCGTAGATGACCCTGCTATGGATCCTGGGCTGCAGGGATATTCTCCAGCAAGGCTGGCGTACCCTGCAGTAACATAGCTATGGTCGAAGGAAGTTTAGAAGTCAAACTTCCGACAATATGGACAGATGAAAAGCAGAGCAGGGCAGAGGCAGAGAGAAGAGAAAGATCAGAAGAGAGAAGAGTAGAAGAGAAAGAGTCAGAAGAAAGAAGATGCAGATGCGCGAAAAGGTAGGAAAGTCGCGAAACACGGTGTTTTTCCAATGATTTGTGGCTCCGGAGGGTCGAAAAGTAGGCTCGCTAAAGCGGCGGGTGCGGAGCCAGCTGGCCAGATGAGAGATGAAAAATTGCTAGTTGAGACGTCGAAAGGTGCACGCCATTGTGGCGCGAAGCACATTTCCAAGTCAAAATGCACAAAGCACACCAGCTCCGGACCACTTTTGGCACTTGAGATGTCGAAAAAGTGCACGCCATTGTGGCGCGAAGCACATTTCCAAGTCAAAATGTACAAAACACACCAGGTTCGGACCACTTTCGGAAGTTGAGATGTCGAAAAAGTGCACGCCGTTGTGGCGCGAAGCACATTTCCAAGTGAAAGTGGACAAAACACACCATTCTCGGACCACTTTTGGAAGTTGAGATGTCGAAAAAGTGCACGCCGTTGTGGCACGAAGCACATTTCGAAGTCAAAAGTGTTAAAAACTGGCGGTCTCGGACCACTTTTGGAGGTTCAGATGTCGAAAAAGTGTCGAAAAAGTGCACGCCGTTGTGGCGCGAAGCCCATTTCGAAGTCAAAAGTGTAAAAAAACGAGGGTTTTGAGCCTTTTTTGACGTGCAGATGTCGAAAAAGTAGACACTGATTAACTTGACTAACTTAAGTAACTTCACTAACGTAACTACCCTAACTTCGACGACAACAGCAAGAGCAACAACAACAACAACAACAACAACGACAACACCAACCACAACAACTACAACTACAACAACAGTAGATCGATAGATGGAGAGATAGATAGATAGATAGATAGACAGATAGATAGATACATCGATAGATGCATAGATCGATACATGGAGAGATAGATAGATACATAGAGAGATAGATAGATAGACGGAAAGATAGATAGAGAGAGAGAGATAGATAGATAGATAGATACATAGAAGATAGGCTGGTAGGTAAGTAGATAGTCAGAGAAAGAGAGAGAGAAAGAGAGGAGACCTCAAGCACCTTTCAATCCATCAGTGGCTTCGCTCTGCCATCCCTGATTCACAACAACCAAGCTCTCCTATAGGTTTCCTATTTTTGAAACTTCCGCCACCGCCTTGTGCGGTACTACTGGTAAATCAACTATAAATTAACAATTTTCCATATCTATGTTAGTTTACCAGAGGCTATGTGATGTGATAGCCTGACTTACATTGAAAACATGGGATCGGATGTTTTGATCTAGTAGAATCTACAGCTTTCTTCACGGGGTGGCACCGTTACCCCAGGAATGGGCAAAGGCATTTTGACTGTCCAGCGGCTGTGGTTTCACCTCAGACCTGTACAGAATGGAATTGGTGCCAGGATTTATCTGGCTGCCCTATCGACAATGGCTTCAGTCAGTGGCGTGTCCCAAGAAATAGCATGGAAAGTGCCACACTGAGCCGAAGGGCAAACGACGTTGATGGCTGCAAAGCAGCAGACAATTACATCACTTTGCTGAGCAAAGGAGATGTGTAAATGTAATAATTGTACAATTTTTGAGGGGTCAGAATAAAGACCTAACTCTAAGAGTCAGCAAACATTGAGAGCCGAAAACGATTCTTGGAGCCCTTCTTGTCTTCCAGTGGTTAGGACGAAATCAAGGAGCATCTATTGGTATCCATACTCCCTAAAATGGGGAGCAGAGAAGCTACTTAGAGTTTCCTAACCAAATGGTAGTAATGATATGTAATATATATATAGTATATATTGGGTTCTCACATATTGGGAGTAATCCGGGAAATTAGTTGTTATGTATTGTTGCTTTTTGTCATTCCAATGAATACATTGCCTTATCACAGGATATCACCACGATAGTCATTGTATATATTGTTTTTAAAGTGTGTAACAGCACAATGGTTGTGCAACATGATTTAGCTTGAGGCAAATTCATGAGGAGCAGCCCCATGATGTTCACAGACCAACTAACAAAAATGACAAAACAGATTCGGGATGAAATTCTGGAGCTGAAATTCTAGCCTGAAAACCTTAGGGCTGAAGAAACCGCATCAGGGAAGATGCGGGTAATTGTGTGCATATATATATATATACATATATATATTTAGTTATTTATAGACATACATATATTACATGTATCTATTGGATATATCATATTATATATTATATAATGATATTTCCTCAATATGCGGAAATGGGACCTTCACCAACCAGCCGGACCACAGTTGGAAGTCCGCATAACAGTGGGACATGCATTACCTATTTTGCAAATTCCCCATGCCTGGTGTGCCACATATGTATCATCAGATTGGTTTCTTAATAATTACCAATTTTGCTATTTCAATTCAAACCCAGCCTGTTTGGTTGAAACCGCCAGTTTTCTTGGTTATGTAATATTGGTGTTCTTTATGAACTGTTGACAGCCTTTTTTTTGCTGCCAGCCATTTTACATAGGTTACCATTTTTTAAAATCAACTGCTCATTTAAGGTATCACACAGGGCAGCCCCACGTGGCAGGTGTGGACGCTGCAACTTTGGCAGAGCTGGTGCGCAGCTTACGCCAAGAAATCTGGGAAATTCTGATATATTTGACACCTGATGTTTACATGTACCACAGACATTTCCAACAGTTTGTCTTTGTCCTTTATTTTTGTTTGGTCAAACTTTGGACATCACGACCTCTGGCGATGAACTTTGGTGCTTGCCCTTTTCCAAATCCCTGGAGCAGATCGATTGCGAACAGCGGCCAACTGACCTGACCAAAGAATCATGCTTGGTAACGGGAAGCACTGCAACGATGACCAACATTTCAGAGGTTTGTGAAACACAACAAACTATGCAGATTAGCAGAAAGTTAGCCAAAATTGGATAAAATTGGGGCACTAAGAATGACCCGCACGATTGGTCATGTTTAATAATTATCAAACATGATCGAACCGTTCATTTGTAGCTTAAGTGTATTTTGACCTATACTCACCTTATTTTTACTTGTGGTGAAAAAATCTTGCGGTGCTGCCATGGCCCGGGCTGCCGTAGCCCTTCGAAGAGAACCTTCAGCTTTCACTTGGCTGCGGCGTGGCTTCACTGAGACTGTAACTGCGAAGGGCCGCTTGCGTCCGAACTTGCACCGCCTCGATGTGACTTGGCAGATGTCTGGCGCCGGGGTGAGACGTGATTTTTCCAATGAGAAATCATGGGGCAAAAATTAATGCATGACTCGGGGGCCCATCAGATTTGGCATGTCCTTCAGCTTGGGGCTTCGATCGCAGGAGCTGGGGATTTTCGATAGCGTAGGAGATGGTAAACCATAAACATCATAAAATAGAAACAATATGAAACAATCGTGGTGTTCCTTAGTTCTACGTTATAGGTGGATGTATAAGTGTATATAATATAGATTCATATAGATACCATAAACCCGAGCTAAACTGTATAGCCAACTCTGGGGCACCACCCGCTTCAGGCCTTCCACAGCTTAGGTAAAGGATTGGATCCACTTCGAACCGTCCAGCGAACATCTGCAGAAAAAACAGGAGATCTTCCAATCGCCTGTGAGGCATTTGCACCTGCTTCAAGCAGAAGGATGCCTGGGACCCCAACGCGAAGCTCCAGTCGGCAGTTTCAGCGATTTTTCGTTTTTTTTAATCTTTTTTCCATCCCTGAAACTGGGATAAGGATCATGATCCAACTTGACTTTCAGATTTGTTTGGCACATTTAGTGATATTTTGGAATGGAAGCCCCAAGGAAGTCTTGGACATGTTGCTGGATCATTTGCCTCGCTGGTATCCTGAGAACTTTCAGGTAACCCCAGTGTCCACTCCAGGGCAACCCTTTGGATCCGACACTGTGGTGGCTTTGAAGGTGCCTTGGGGTGAAGATCTGAAAGTTAATATTAATGAGGGGAACCCAACAATAAACATCAATGAACAATTATTTGCCATTTGGAGCTTGTTTATACCACCCATTGGAATGGTGATGACTTGGGGATGGTTTACTATTGAGTTTACCGCATTATCCTATTTTCAACCATCACTTTTCTGGAGTCGCTCCCGCATTTGGGGGGATCATTGCTTTCACATTGCTTCACCTCTAGCAGACCAGCAATTGAACCTGGCGACAGGCCTCCAAACAGGGCAATTGGGCCATGATTCTCATATTTCCGGGAAGGCCTTGAATGAGCACTTCAATACTTTGATCTTTTGCCAGACTTATATAATGGGGTGTATAAACCAACCAGCATAATCCAAGAGAAGCCCTGATTTCTGCCTCATCGCCTGAGGTGGCTGATGTCGATGTGTCTTACCGTTTGGGCGACTTTGAACATTTTCCGCTGGAGCTGGCGTCCTTGTTGGTTCAGGTAGGCGGAGAGTGGATCGTTGTTTTTCTTCCTTCCTTGTGTGCTTTTGTCTCGTTGTTTTTCTCATGTGTTTTTCTTCCAAAGATTTCGTCAGTTTGCACATTTAGTGGAAGAAGGAACAATGAGCCCAAGAAAGCAAAACGAAGGCAGAAGATGAAAACAAACGAAAACACGGCTAAAAACAAACAAGGCAAGAACGCAAAACATGCGAAAGACAAAGGATCAATTTCTGTTCACCTTTGGTGTTTTTTTTTTCTAGTCGATTTCGCCTCTAATGTGCACATATATATATAATTATATATATATATATTTGCCTATCTACTACGTTGCTCTTTGTCTTCCTATGTTTCTATCCAACTATCTATACCACAAGAATCCAAAGATATAGCATTATATCTATAGCCAAGAAAGGTTTGAGAGACATGATATACAATCTATTCTGATTAAGTCACATCTTGACTGCCATGGGCCCAAGTCACCGAGGTGCTGATGTTATCCTGTTGTAACCAACGGTGCAACGATAGGCCACGCATCAACTAAAGGATTCACTTATTGTTGCTGCGCCTGTGGTCTTTATGCCATGGCTACTTGGAAGGCGTTTTTCATCCCAATGAATTCCGATGACTACTCGCTTCCAAGCGCAGCTTTTTTTGGTGGTAATTCATTGTTTTCTGGTTGGTGATCCATCTTGGGATGATGATTCCCCTATGTCTTTCCTGTTTTTCCCATGTAGGTTGCTCAACCAGCAAGTGGACCTAGAACATTTTGTGATATCATATGGTATTATACTTAGTATCCAAGGTGTTCTAGTCTAGTCATGAACTTGTTTTACAACTCCATCGAACTATAGAATACTATAGATGTACCATAAGACATGGTGAATCTATAGTTCCAAACCAAAAATTAGGAAACTTAGCCAAGTGATCATCATCTGGTTGGTGGTTTCAAACATGTTTTATTTTCCATTTCATATATGGGATGTCATCCTTCCCATTGACGAACTCATATTTTTCAAGATGATTATGGCACCACATCATTAATGGGACCAGTCATAAATGATGGTTGAGTTATGGAACCATTAACTCAACCATTTAATGATGGAACCAGTCATTGTACATTGCCATAAACCATCATTAGAAAACAACTGCTTCGAGTTTGGCGGTGTCCCAGGAGGATTTGGTGTTGGTAGAGGATGGCACCGTGGTCGCGGGCTCGGTGCTCTTCAGTTTCACGCGCTTCCACGAGCGCTTTGGGATGAATATGGACCCTTGGATTCATCGGATATCATGGGATATCATGGATATATCATGGGTATATCATGGTATTTGGATGGATAGATGGATAGGTAGATTCAGATAAATGGATGGATAGATGGATAGATGTGTGTGTGTATTATAGTATGCCTAGAACTTCCAAATCACCCCTCAAAATATGGTAGAAGTAGTAAATTTTGAGGTAAAACACTGTTTTTTATGGGTATATAGTTGGAGGGTCACCTAACGTGGGGCCCTTGGAGACCAGCAATCCAAGATGGCTAGCAATGGAGGCGAGGTTTTAATGGGGCAATCATCTATAAATGGTGGATTTTTAAATATTGGTAAATAATGTTCTATTTCATACCTGGATCAATGTATGTTTTTTTTGATGCACATTAACTAGTCCACCAGTTTTTCTGAGTTGGGATTTTATCATAGTCACAAAAGGTGTCAATCTACTGGGTAATTAATGAGAAGCTCGACTTTTTTGGAAGCAGCCTTCAGCAACTCCAAGGACCAAATCCACCGGAAGGTACAGCAATACCAGAGGGACTTGGAGAAACCAGTGAATAAGGCGGGGAGGTCGCCCACATGTTGCAGGATGTCGGTGCCAGTAGGGTGCATCTCCACCCCGGCCGGTTTGGAGGGGCCTTTGATTCACAAGTTTGAGCTTGAATTTTGATCTTTGGATGCTCTGTTAATGTATAGTTGCTATGGTAACGGCTGAAAAATGCCATATATATATATATACATATTGGTTTGATAATTTTCCGAGTTTGCCCATTTCGTGCGGGCATTTCCCCAGGTCTTTGCAACTCTGGAGCACGATCGGCCTATGTGGCGAAGTAATTGGAATGTCAGTTGGAGCGATGATATTTTGGCGGGATACAGCCGCTATCCTCACCGGAACCCCGGGATTTCGGAAGATGAACGGGCTTCTCTCTTCCAAGAAATGAAGGAAAGGATTGAACAGAAAGGTTTAGGTGATAGCGCGTGGCTGAAGGTTGAATATCAGACCTTGCGACGGCTACGCCAACATCCCAAGTGCATCCTTTTCACCGTCCGTACTTTCTTGAACTCTCTGGATGAGTTGCCAGGAGAACCATTGGCAGCCAAGGCTTTGCTACAAAATCTGGATCGCCTTCAGCCCACCGAGTTTCCTAGATGTGAAAAGGGGCAAGGTTTTACCTATTTGTTCCCACATGGAAATGCGTCATGAATTTGGGGACGCGGCAATGCATACGTAGTTGTAATTAGTTTTATAACTGTTTGTTCATTTTGGAGTCCCATGTGGGTTTGTGTTTTCAATACGGAGGGGTTATCATTTTTTTGAGTTCCACTGATTAGCAAAAAAACAAGGTTTTCGAAGTATTTGGGCATAGATGATGCTTACCTCTTCCAGTCGCTGAGACGATTTGTGGTGGCCAACTGTGATGCCGCTGAGTAAGTCTGAAAAACGATGCGTCGCAAGGGGAGCATGCAGATGAACATGTTGACACCATGTTGACACCGTATCCAGGTAAACTTCAACTGGTTCACAGTTTTTTCAACTGAACTCAATATGATCTCCTCTGATCTATGCGTATATACATACTAAACACCATACCATACCGTCTCAACCATGCTGAATTTGCCTAAATAGACTAAATAGTCCTAAATATTGTAATATTTCATTCATATATAGATGAATGCATGTACTGTGCCATGTATGGATGGTTTGGGGTCTAACAGGTGTCATCAGAATCACCCATGGATAGCAGGGCTCTGGTGCCACTGACTACACCCACAACTATGCCATTGCTTCCATTGCTTTGCAGCTCTTTTTTTCGGTCCGCGCGCAGGCCCTGGCCCTCACAGCGCCCCGTCGTTATGCCCACTCCCAAAATGGAGGGCCTTTGTGAACCTCCCGCCGACAAGATCTCCTGCCGGTTCTTGGTTGAACTGCTAGATGCGAAGTTTGCACAGCAAGAACAGCTGCTCGGACGTGAGATTAATTGACTTGATTTTCCCATATGGCCTACCTGGGTTTGTCTAAAAGAACATGGTTTACTGTATCCCAAAGTACCATGTTGACTTGGAAAAAGACGATGAACTAAGCATGAACTATATATGTGATTTCCAGGTACCAGTATACCATCCAGTCCCCTTTTTCCAGGCTTGCGCCTGAGTTTGTTCATATTTATAACATTTTATAACATGATTTATCCATCAGAAATGGTGAATCTACATGAATCTACGAGGTTTTTTTTTCCAGATTTCCAAGTCCAAGGCTAATCCGGAAGCTGATCAGAGACGTCAGAGACCCAGTGCCGGAATTTCCAGTGGAGACAATGGACCTTCAACAGCTTGGAGCGACTTCCAGGGAGCCGCTGGTAGTGAAGGAACCAGTGCTGGAAGTCTGTGACTTGGATTTTCCAGAGAAATCCGAGGACGTCGAGTTCCCAAAATGCCGGCTCGGTGATTTTTGTTCTTTCTTTTCCAAGTGGTTTACCGACATTATCCAACATTTATCAACTGTCTGGGAACAGTCTCCGTAGTTTTTTTGATTCGGCCCAGGGCCCTTTTTCTCCAAGTCGAGGAGGAAGATGAGGAATTGAAGCCTCAGACACCCAGCAAGGGTGCGGGTGTACGTTCCGGGAAACTGGGAGTTACTGTCATGAAGGAAAGGTGGGAACCAGAGCCATTTTGGAAGGTCTTCGTGAAAGGGCCACTGGACGGCTACATGGGGATTGTGGTGCTCATAAACCTGGCCTTCATGATTCTGGAAACGCAATCCACTGGAGCCACTTTAGACTTTTCACTGGGCCTCTCATCAGATGCAGGATGGAACATTGATGAGAACTTCTTTCAGGTTGCGGAGTACATTTTCTTCAGCATGTAGCTGGAAGCTGGATGAAGACGTTTGAATTTTCACACAGGGAAAAGATGGAATATGATCCCTAAATCTTGGTGCATATGATTATTATTACCATCTGGTTATCTAACATAGCCATGGAACATGGCCCATTTATAGATGGTTTACCTATTAAAAATGGTGATTTTCCATGGCTATGTTAAATAACCAGAGGGTAAATTATATATATATATATATTAAAACAACCAAAACTATCCGTGATCCGTGGAATCTTGCATCTAATGGCTTAATTCCTTTCAGATGGCTCTTGTCACCACTGGCCTCAGGTATACTGTAGATGTTCTCGTGCGGATCATCGTCTTGCGGCACGAATGGTACTTTGATCCGCGACAGGGCTTCATGTTCTTGAACATTTTCGACGCCTGCGTGGTGGCAGTCAACGCCTTTGAGCTGTTGCTCATGCCACTGCCACTGGGATGGACATTCCCAGCAATCCTCAGTTGTCAAGTGGACATAGGATGAAAGTGACATGTTTACTGGGAACGGAACGGCTAGGATGTAGTATTTTGAATGGGGAAGCTCTCATGCTCATCGGGAAGATCGTGATGGTCATTGCGCTTTCTTTTTCATGTTAAACTGCTGGATTTTCTAGTCAGTCCCACAAGAAAAACGAATCCTGAGGGCCCCATTGCCACTAACCAAGGCTGGTGTGGGGCAGTGACCAAGATCAAGTGAACAGCATTCGGGTCATCAAACTGATGCGAATCGCACGCACCCTGCGAATTGTGAAGACCGTGCCATGGCTGCACAGCTGCGTCAACCGACTGCATGGATAGTTTAGAGATGTTTGGAGTTTAGAGGTCAATCTTTTCCTGTCAATGGCAAACTGGGGGCAATACCTGATACTGCAATACTAATCAGATCTGATCATTAAAAAAGAATAATGTGGGTAAAACAATAATAGACCACCCAATTCTTGATGGTTTATACCACCTATTTATAGTGATTTTGGGGATGGTTTATTATTGTTTTACCCACATTAGTGTCTAAGGGCGGGCCCATTATAGCCGCGCTACACATCGCTGCATCAAGTATGACCTCGATCGCCAAACCACCAGATGTACCCTCTGGTGTCAAACATGGCTGGCTATAAACCAGATTGGATTAACTATATACTATATTCCATTCATATTCCATTCATATTCCATTTGCTACTGGATTATTATCCAATCAAAAAAATTATATAGATGATTATCTCATGGTTTTCCGGTTTTCCCATTAAAAATCACTAAAACCTCCATTTTTCTTCGGGATTTTCCCCATCTCAACCACCTTTGATGTTGCGTTTCGGGTGACGTTTTCCCAAACCAGGTCCAGCTGTTCCGGCAGCTGCGTCTGCTGGTTGGCACCTGTGTTGCCAGCATCGGCGCACTCTTTTGGTCCATGGTCTTGCTGATGGTGCTGAAGGTCGCGGGGAAGAGCTGGAAAACATGTCAGTGGGAAACCATGGAAAACCATTGCATTATTGGGGATTTGTTGGGGACGATTGTATTGGAAGCTGGAAAGAGGTGGGAACAATATCTTGGGTATACAAATCCACTGGATGTCGGGGATTTTTGTTGGGGTACAGGATCCTACCAACATGCTAATAAGTTGAACACCGCTGGTGGCAACCAATTTGCTGTGAATAAATCAATGATGGTTCCTAAAAATGTGCCAAACATACATGATGTATTATGATGTATGGTAACGTATACATTTGTCAAAATGCTTGGGTTATTAAACGCATGTTCCACTGCTGGGCCTGGGACTGCAACGCCCAGGTGGGCTTTGCCTTGGTGATTTGCCAGGCCTTGCAGCCGGTGATTTTGGATCTCAACACGGAGGACTCGACGCGGCGCGAGGTGAACCGTGCCTTGGTGGCGGCTGTGGATGTGGCTACCCTGGGCCAGCATTAAGGAGATATTATATATGATATTCTGGTTGGTGGTTTGGAACATGACTTTCATTTTTCCATATATTGGGAATAATCATCCCAACTGACTAATATTTTTCAGAGGGGTTCAAACCACCAACCAGTATTATATGATGAAATATGATTAATTATGAGATATGTTTCACTTGGAGACAGATTTTTCTTGGAGGGGGACTGGGGGGTAATTCCGAGGTTGTTGATTTGTTGGTTGAGTCTTAATTCCCCACATCTTTGTGTGGGGTTCTTGTTTTTGGTTGTGCACTCCCGCCTCTCCGCCCGCCTCTCCGCCCGCCGCCTGCCCACACACAACTTGCTCACACACAACTTGTCCACACACAACTTGACCACACACAACTTGGTCACACACAACTTGTCCACACACAACTTGACCACACACAACTTACTCACACACAACTTGTCCGCACACACAACTTGACCACACACCACACACACAACTTGCTCACACACAACTTGTCACCACACAACTTGTCCACACACAACTTGCTCACACACAACTTACACACACACAACTTGACCAACACAACTTACTCTCACACACTTACTCACACACAACTTACTCACACACAACTTACCCACACACAAACGTCCACACACAACTTATTCACAAACAACTTTTGCACACACAACTTACTCACAAACAACTTGTCCACACACAACTTACTCACACACACAACTTACTCACACACAACTTACCACACACAACTTGCTCACACACAACTTGCTCACACACAACTTGCTCACACACAACTTGCAAACAACTTGCACACACACACACAAACTTGCACACACACACACACCACAACACACACACACACCCACACACACACCACACACACACACACCACACACACAACACACACACCCACACACACACACACACACACCCACACACACACACACACACACACACACACACACACACACACACACACACACACACACACACACACACACACACACACGCGGCCATTTGCCTTCACTTTGCGTGGCAGGCGTGGCACTTATGGCACCGGTGCGCGCGCTTGATTGGCCGACAGAGATTTGAAGTCTGAGCTCGGCCAATTGAAATGAAAAGGAAACGCGATGCCAGGGGTGGCACCAGGTTAAATACCAACAGGTGATTTGTTGAAGCGCCGGCCACCAGCACGGGAGGCTGGGTCATTCCCGCATTTCTTTTCCCTAACCGTACGGATTTGCACGTGTTGTGCCGTTTGTGGTACACCAGGCTCAAAAGTGAGGATCAGTGGTCCGAACTACTAAGGTTTGTACGGAAGCTTCCTGAAGGCTTTGTACACCATGTTTGAGATCACGCATAGTGGCAGTTGGCGAGCAGTGGTTCGACCAATCGTGGAACGTGTCAATGCATGGTACGCGGTGCTGTTTTTGACATATATCACTTTGGTGGTATTTGCTGTCATTCGCATTGTGACTGCCCTGTTCTTGAAGGATTTTAAGGGGCACTGCCGTTCGACCCCCGACCCCATTGTTGGTGTCAATTCCCAGTAGCACCAATTCTTGGGTTTCAACCTCTTGGTTAGGGACTGGCGATGACTGGTTCATCTGGTTCATACTGATTCCATGAATTTCACACGGGCCAAGAAAATGCAGCGCCAAACACCTTTTCCTATTGGATCCGGCTTTGTTGGGCTCCAGGCTTCAAAATTTGAACGTAAAAGTAAGCATAAAACCAAGTTATCAAAGGAAGTTGGGAAGCAATACTTCCATGTTACGGACACATAGAATTGTGAGACTTGACATTGATGAAGGGTGGTGTGACATGACATTGATGAAGGGTGGTGTGTGTGTGTCTTTTGCATCACATAACAATACATCACAGAAGAATAATAGGCTATGACACAGGGTGGTGTGAGACTTGACATCACATGAGTAAGGGAAGTAGTGACGAAGGGAAGTGGTGAGGAAGGGAAGTGGTGACGATGGGAAGTGGTGACGAAGGGAAGAGGTGACGAAGGGAAGTGGTGACTTTGGGAAGTGGAGACTTTGTAGTGGCTGCATGAATGTTGCGTGGGGCTTGTGTTGGGGAGGAAGCCGGAGCACGAAACCTTGCATTTTTCTGTGTAAAGTGGTTGCAGCCGGCGATGAAAGGTACCTCGTGTGTGCGGCGGGTGCGGCTAGGGTCGTTTCAGACGCGAATATGTTCCTCCTCTGTGTTCTGCAATGAGTGGTTGTTCCTGTGTGCGTACTTCTATTCGTGTTTTGAATCTGTGGTTGCAGATCGCAGTGGAATGGCTGCATGATTGTTGTCATCTGGTGTTGCCATGTGCGTAGATCCGTGCAGGTTTGCGACGTGATGCGGCGAAACTCATTGTAATGGCTGCGTCAAGGTTGCTTGATGCCGCGGCTGCATGCGTAATACTATTGCCTTTTGCAGCTGGATCTCGTAAATAGTATTGGAGTGGCTGCATCAAGGCTGCGACAGTGATTTGTCAGCAGATTTTCTCAATTTTGGTGCTAGTAATTTTCCTTTTGAAAGTCCTTTTAAAAAGTGCTTCAAAATGGTAATTGCAATAAGACTGAAGGTTGCATTCATGACCTCATGACCCAACATGGTGGCACGTGCCATGCCTTTGCTCGTCACCAAACCTCTCGTGTTCCTATCGATGCCATTTGGTCCTCGATTCAGCATTACAGTCTTGGGAAAGAGAGACATGGTCACGGCTCTTTGGCTCAAACTATTTTCCATCTTGACCGGAAGCACCACCAGGGTGCTCAGTTCAGACTTTCTCATACCCGGCAGGTCTGTCCGGTCAATGTCGACGACGCCTCAGCACCTGATTGGACTGGCATCGCTACTACTGATGCACTGTGGACTGAAACCCTCAGTGGAACTGTTGATGAAGTCTGGTCTTGCTGGACCTCAGATGTTGAAAAGTGGCTTCTCGCAGCCGGATGTCTCCAGCAGAAGAGTCCCGAAAGGCCTCTGGGTAGCGAGCCCAAAGCTGTTCATGGCCAACACCGCATGGCCGACCAACAGGATGTCACCGAAAGACGGCTGCGGCGACACATCCGACGTCTGCAGGAGGCTCAGTGGGTGTCGCACCATGGTAGACAGCCGAATCCTCACCTGGTTCGTAAACTGCTCCGTGATGCTCCTGTGGGTCCAGAACGTCAAGCTATCTCTCTTCAACAATGGGGCGGGGGTCTTCAAATGGCTCGCAACAGATTGAACGCTCTTGTTAAAATCAAACATGATGAAGCCATTGCTCAATGGCGCCAAAAGATCAGTGAAGTTTCTGGTGCATGCCAGTGGGTCAAGCGCGCCGAACCCACTCCTTGGGTCATTCGTGACTCTCGGGGGACATCACCGGTGATCGAAGTCATGCCGTCCAGGACTTGGAAGATCACTGGACAACCATCTTTGGCCAACAGGACTGGAATCCGGAACCATTTTGGCAACTCTACGCTGAGGACCTTCCTCCTCGACGACGCGCTCCTAAACTTCCTCCCATCAACTGTGCCCAGATCAAGAAGGTTGCCATGCAGCTGCGACGCAAGGCCTACGGGCCTGACGGCGTGAGCGCCCAAATGTTGCTCCAACTGCCGCAACCGGCCCTGATTCGAGCTGGACAGATGCTCAACATGCTTGAAAGAAGAGGAACATGGCCTGTTGGCCTTCAGCATTGGAAAATAATATTCCTGCCCAAGAAAAGGCCTTGCTCCGTGCCCACTCTGAGTGGTGTGAGGCCCATAGCCGTGGGGCCAATCATGTATCGGTTATGGAGTTCTCTCCGCCTCAAACAGCTCAATACTTGGGTCGCCGACCGTTTTGACAAGTTCCAAGCTGGGGGCCAAGGTGGACCAGACGTTTACTCGCTGTTGTCGCTGGATATCGACATCACTGCGCTAAGGAGACTGGCGGGAGTTTGCCTTGACTACAAGAAAGCTTTTGACTCAGCGGACTATCGCATGGGCATCCAGGTCCTTGAGCGCCTGGGTGCTCCAAGCCGAATCACCTCAGGTTGCTTCACGATCAGTGGCGTAACCACAAGAGATTGATCTCCTTTGGCAACATCATTGCCGAGCAGCCCATTGCCAATTGTAGAGGTTTGCCCCAAGGTGATCCTTGGAGTCCTGCAGCTCTTTGTCTCCTTCTTCCCCCTCCGCCAGCAGAAAAGGCAGGTGGCCGGTGCCGACGCTCTGCTCTTTCCCGATGACAGGACCATCGTGGCTCAAGATGTTCCCACGCTGAAAGCTGCTGAGAGATGTTGGGACAGATTGGGTGAAGTCAGTCGAATGGAAACACAACGCGCTAAGACCCAATATTGGGCTCGCACTCTGCAAGCCTATGCTGAGTTCCAGCGAGAAGGCATTCAGCCTCAGTTCCAAGTTCAGATCCTTGGGGTCACCTGTGGTCTCCAAGGCCGATCCATGAGCAGCGAGGAAGAAGAAAAGGCTGAGAAGTGCAAGAGACTGGCTAGCCGCATTGCTGTGCTCCCCAAAGCTCTCAGATTCAAAGCTAGCCTGTGTTTCTTGATCCTCTCTCCTATTTTCACCTGGGGTGTTTTCCTTGGAGGTCATTACCCGAATGTGAAGTTTTGCAAATCCTTGAAAACTAATTATTTTCTTCCAGGCTGTCAAAAGATTCGATTCACATGACACACAAACGAGTAGAGAACTTTTTCAAGTTTTTTTTGTCTTGGTCACTGCAGTGATTTGATTTTCTATGCTACGCAAAGACTCATGAAAGCGCTGTCCAAGTGGCGCAGTGCCAACAGAGATGTGACTATCCCGGAGGACTCATCGGTCATCAGCTTAGTCTCTAAGGCTATGACTTCTCTTGGAGTTGCTGTTCAGGAAACAGGTCAGTTCAGGTTCAACACCACCGTTTGGAGCTTAGATACCCCTGTTGGATGGATGGATCGCATTGCGCATCTGTTTAGAGCCCATTGGCGTAAACAAAAACTGCAGCTCTGGCTTGACAGCCAACGAAATGATGCTGCTATCGCTAGGAATATTCCTTTGGTGATTACTGACAAACTTGTTGATTCGCTCCACAAAGTTTCCCGAGACCTCCAGGGTCATCAAATCTTAGTTGCTTCAGGCGGCATCACCACCGATGCCATATACAATAACAGAGAGTTTTGTCATTTGTGTCAACATGTGTCAACAAAACCAGTGCCCTTCGACTGAACATGTTCTTTGGACCTGTGTTTGTTTCAGTGATCTGCGCCTGGTGTGCAGACCTGCTTGCAATTTGACTGGCAGACTTGGATGGGGACCTAAATGGTTTCTCCCTTCCGGTGTTGCGTCAAATGGTGCAAATTCGAGCGCAAGCCACAAAACTCTACTGGGCTGCGGGTCGGGTGGGGGGGGGGGGGGGGGCCCTCCCGCTCAGGACTGATGATTTCCGGCCGCGTGGTCGAGGCGGGTGTGGGTCATGGCCAAGACCCGCAAGCGAATTGTGACTCAGAATCCCCTCCAGCACCCGCTGGAGAAGAAATTTCAAGAAATGAATTCAAAGAGCCCGAAAAAAGAAAATCAAAAAGTGAAATTCAAGCCCAGATGGGGCCCGGGCCGGTGTTTCCCCCGTTTCCCCCGGTGCTTTCTGCTTCTTGCCTGCTTCTTGCATGCTCGTCCCTGCCACGCTTCGCATGACCTTTGGGTATGTGCGCGTCACGTGGAAGAGATACCTATTCTTTTTCAATCTACCGGCCCTTTGGGCCCCCTGGGGCGCGCGCCCTTTGCCGCAGCTATGGCCAGCGACGGCGGCGCAGCGCGCTCAGCTCAGCAGTCCATGCCTCTGCAGCAGCTGCAGGAGATGCGCGGTTGGAGAGGACTTTTGGAGACTTGGGTTTCCGGTTTGCAACCATACGTTGGAACGTTTTGGCTCTGTCTTCTTTGGATGTGGAACCATATAATGGAAACTTTCTTTTTTACCCCCGGGGAAGAAAGAAGCATTCAGGAAATCATAACAGAAAGCTGTGTCCTCTTGCGTCGATCAACAGGCAGCGGCGGAAATTCGGGATCTGCCGCAAAATCAGGCGTAGGAGGTACAGGTGGACACGTCGTAAATTTCGAATGAAACAGATGCTTTTTCGTTTACACATGATGCAAATCAAACTCAGTCAGCGTAACCATGAAAAATTTGGTCATGTCATGCCTGAAAAGTGCTGCGACTGCCAGCAGCCTCACTGTGAAACAAAGACCCCAATCCAAAGTTGGTTGGGACATGATGCAGCCAGATTTGTGACTCAGTGGTGGAAAGGAAACCGTGAGGCTAGTCTCCTTTTGCTGGCTTGTCGGTTTCTCAGATGCCTGAGTCAGTGGAGACTTTGGCTGGGCTCCCGAGTGGGAGAGGCCAAGAACCCGGGGCCAGCCGGGACCCGAAGCACTGCTCGAAAACGAGCTCAGAAAGGTGCAGATTCACAGAATTTGGCCATGCAATTGCTCAGTGTTTTGGAAAACTTTCAAGGTACCAGACAAACGAAACGGGCCAAAACAAACCCTGGACTTGCTCAGTTGTTGCTTGACACGCTGAACACTGCTCTCTATGAAAAATGGCCTGACACGGATATTGCTGACACCATGATTGAAACGCTTCAACCTTTTGTCAATGTTTCGGATGAAATGGATTTGAATTGTGACAAACCTAATTGGGATGATTGGAAACAGACTGATAAGCACGGCGGTTGGGAATGGTCGGCTCAAAGTAGCAAACATTACCAACCTCAAAATGAAACCTGGCATAAGCCCGGAACCAAGTGGCAAGACAGGTCAACGGACCAATGGCCAGCCATTGGTCAGACCTCCCGCAAAGAAACGCAAAGCACTAAACTGACCACCTCTTCACAGCCCCCTCCTGTGTCTTGGAAAGGTCCAAAGTTTGCTGCCAAAGTCCAGTGGTTAGAATGGAACGCGGTTCCCACTCTGTGCACCCTTAATCAAATCAAAAGTAGACTGGAAGAAGGAAAACCTGTCGAAGCCAACCTGCTTGTCACTAAAGACCCTGAGGTATGGAAAGAGATCCAGCATCTTTGGAATGCTTACGGGGTCAATGCGTCTCTCACTGTGGCGACGGTTGCTAGTGCTACAAGCTCTGGCCAAACCGTTTCAGTTTGGTGGGATCTTGCCAAGCAGCATTCCCACAAACCTTTTCGAACCAAGGTGGAATTGCGGCAGGCTACTCAAACGCCAGGCCCTGTCCCTATCAAAGCTAAGGCCATAGACCTCAAAATTGACGAGAGTGCCAGGCCGGTAACGGTCAGGATCTTAGCTCCCGAATTCTACAGGCGGTTTGTTCTTGGAGTTCAAGGTATGGACAACCCACAAACAATCATTAGTGAAGTTGCTCAGATGCTTGGTTGTCGCACGGCTACTTTGTGCGGTGGGAACTGGCAGGTTGTGCAACACAAACATGGTACCATTGTCATTGGTCATGTCAAGGTCGCTCCGGACCTGGCTCAAAAACTCGTGCCCCTCTCCGGCAAGAGAGCTCTGTTCTTCACCAAGGTTGACAAACAAACCAAAAGTCTTGTGGCTTGGATCAGCAGGGCCAAAGAAACCACTGCTGAAGATTATTTCAATCACGCCTGGACCCAAGCTCAGAACAAGAAACTGCCTTTGGTGCTCAGACAAGGCGGAAACAATGATTTGGGTATTGCGAGCATCGCCGCCACGGACTTAGATCAAAATCAACCCAGAAGTTTTCAACTTTTGGGTGCCCCCAGGTATTGGAACCATGAGGATATTCTTGTTTTCCTTAAGAAAACTCAATGGAAAGATGCGGAAATCAAAGACCGACTCCGCAGGGGTCCCGAAGTGGCTTGGATATTCAAAGCGGTTCCAGCTCCCCTCCAAAACAGTGATGACAAGGGTGTCTTTTAGCAATTTTGTGACAGCGAAGGAATTTGCACTTTCACTATCATTCCTGAAAGACATGGAAAGACTAAAAAGGCTCACATGGAATGGCTCAAGCCCCCCAACAAGAATTGGAATTTGAATTTCAACCAATTAGATTTCCAGCCAGACCGCTGGATCGGGTCAACCCAACCTGCGTTGCAGCACTGCTGCGGGGACTGTTCCTGCCACTCTTCTGGGCAGCACTCAATCTCAGGCTTCTCAAGAAGTACCCAAAGCTGAAGAGAACGGGGAGAACGGGAATGCCCGAGGTCGCTCTCCCAGGAGGAAACAAAACGGTGCTGGCGATCCCTTGGTTCAGCCGGGTCCTTCGGACCCCAAAGACCTTTTTCTGGTTGATTACCCAGGTCGGACCGTCGAGGACCCCAAAGGCCAAGGCGATTGCGGCTTCCGCACCGCGGCCCGGGCCGTTGCTTATACCGACAAGGCAAGGACCTGAACGAAGAGAAGTTGGCTCGAGAAGCCAGCAAATTCTGAGTTTTGTCAATTGGACACCTCATTAAAAACAAAGAGATTCACAGACCTCATTGGACTCCCGACGAAGACACTAAGGCTGAACATTGTGCTGATGAAGATATTCCACAGGACATTGATGAATACTGTACCATTGCGTCTAAGAAGAATTTTTGGATTGACACCCTTCTCTTGACTTCATTGATGCAACGGTTGGGTGCTGTCATTATTATTTTCAAATGGTGCAAAATCGAGAAAATGTGGAGACGAACCGTCCTGGCCGATAAATTTTCTGACACTCGGGCGGTTGGTACCAAAAACGGGGTTGGCTATATCACCATGATGTTGATTGATGATCACTTTTGGTTTTTGAAGCCCCCGGAACCCACTTGTGCCTTGCCTGAAGCTTGGATGCACAAAACTCCTGAACGATCCAGGGGGTACTTGAGAGGTGGTGGCAAGACCATCCCTCCCAAAACCCCTAGCCCTAGCCACAAGCCTAGTCATGCTGCCTCCAAAACGAGCCATTGCTTGAAAATTCCTGGTGCGACTCCACGGCCTTCTTCGCGGACTAGTGCCAACAGTAGCAAGCTTAGAATCCCTGAGTCTGAAACTGCAGCTTCGTCTCTTGGTTTTGCAGGGACTTGCCAGAGCCTCAAATCTAACACGGTTTCCAAAAATGGACAAGGAGCAAAAGTGACTCCGCAGTCCTCAACTCAGACCGTGAAGCCCTTAGTTGCTGGAGTGTCTGGACTTCAGAGCAAAATCAAACCCAAAGAAGCTTACTGGATCTGTCCGTTTCCTAAGTGTGGCTTCCAAGTGGACAATTCTCTTTCTAAAGACAAGAGGCCCCAGCGGCGGAAAAAGCATTTGAACAGAGTGCACAAGCTCAAGGGTGAGAAGCTTAAAGAATTGACCAGAAAAGAGCGTATGGAACGGGTGATCAAATTCCAGAAAGTCCCTCTCTCCGTCCATCACACTTCCCGCCCTGGTATTCAGTTCTCCTTGAATCTCCCCGTCTTTCCTTCTTCCTCTGCTTCGTCCTCCTCCATCCCTGAGGTCTGGTGGCGTTGTACTTGTGGTTTCGAAGTCAGAAGAAGTTCCGAAAATGAACAAAGACGTATTAAATGGAAGCATTTGCGCACTGAACATGGCATTCGCAGAAACAATTACGCTGGACAGCGCGACAATGCGGATGCGAACACTCCGAAAAGATTGCACGCTTGTCGTGATTCCCTGCAAATTCGTTGGCAACACCTTTGGAAAGCTTTCTCTAAGGCTAAGTGGCCGGGCTCCCATGACCTTCCTGTTGAGGCTACCCACTGGCGTGAACACAACACCAAAACTGGTGTTAAATTTTTTAAGCCGTTTCACGTCTGTAAGCTTTGTAGTATTCAAGTCGAGAGGCACTGTTGGTATTTGTATTCTTGTCCTGCCGCCAAAAGTCGCAAACCTCTTCCTTCTCTGAAAGAAAGAAAAGCTATTTGGGCTAAATGCCGTAAAGAAGCCCAACAAAGTGTCAAGCTCAGCAAGCTCTCGGACGGCACCAAAGGTCTGCGTGCGAAACGGCTGGGGGAGGCTAAGAACCCCGGACCCGAAGGATTGAAAGTTTGGAATGAAAACATTAGATCATGGAACACCAACAAGAGGAACTTCTTCAAGCGACGGAAAAAAAATGAAGTTGATGTGCTCCTTCTTCAGGAGACTAACGTGGGAAACACGGTGAAATTTGCTTGTTGCACAAGGCTCAAAGGTATGGTTGGCAAGCTCTCCATGTGCCTCCGGCCCACAAAAAACACAGAGGAGGAGTTGCTATTCTGGTCAAACCTCCGTTGGCCCTGGTCGAGTTGGAACACATCGCCACTGAAAAGGGGCAGCTCCTCCTTGCGGAGTGCCATGGTTTGCAGGAGGCTTTTCTGCTGGGAGTGGCGTGCAAACACCCTTGTGATGTCGAAATTCAAACCATTCTCGAGTTGAGTCAAGTGCTCCAAATCCGGCATGGAACTCAATGGATCATTGGCATGGATGGCAACAGTGATATGACTTCCGGTCCTATTCCTGAAGTCATGACTCAACTCGGTGGAAAGTGCCATTCGGTTGCCAGACATGACAAGAGCAGTTACCCCATCGATGGAATCTGGTCATCCATTCAGGGTGCATGTGACAATCAAGAACTAGCTGGTCATGGCGACCATTCCATTGCTGAGGCGGTCTTTAGCTTCAGCCGCAAAGATCGTCGGGGAACTCAATTTCGGTTTTCTCATACTCGCAGGTTGAAAGAAAACGCTGTCGAGAGTGCTACTGCTCCTGACTGGGGCTCTACGGCGACTTCGGAAATCATCTGGAATCAAACTCTTACTATGACGGTGGATGAAATTTGGGAATGCTGCTCTGTGTAAAAGCTTTTTTCTGTAAAAGCTTGCTGTGTGTAAAAGCTTCTCTGTGTAAAAGCTTGTTGTGTGTAAAAGCTTTTGTGTGTAAAAGCTTCTTTGTTTAAAAATCTTTCTGTGTGTGTAAACGCTTGCCATGTGTAAAAGCACTGTGTGTAAGTGTTCTGTGTGTAAACGCAGTCTGTGTGTGAAAGCTTGTTGTGTGTAAAAGCTTCTCTGTGTAAAAGCTTGTTGTTTGTAAAAGCTTCTCTGTGTGTAAAAGCTTCTCTGTTTAAAAAGCTTGCTGTGTGTGTAAACGCTTGCCATGTGCAAAAGCACTGTGTAAGTGTTCTGTGTGTAAACGCTTGCTGTGTGTGAAAGCTTGCTGTGTGTAAAAGTTTCTTTGTGTAAAAGCTTGTTGTATGTAAAAGCTTCTCTGTGTGTAAAAGCTTTCTTTGTTCAAACTTTGTAGTACAAAGTAGTACTGGGAACTACTTTTTGCAAGCTTTGTTGTACAAAGTAGTACTGGGTGCAAGCTTTGTGTAGTACAAAGTATTGCTGGGAAGTGGTTTGTGCAAGCTTTGTAGTACACAGTAGTAGTACACAGTAGTAGTACACAGTAGTAGTGCTGGGAAGTAGTTTGTGCAAGCTTTGTAGTACAAAGTAGCACTGGGAAGTGCTTTGTGCAAGCTGTGTAGTACAAAGCAGTACTGGGAAGTGCTTTGTGCAAGCTTTGTGGTACAAAGTAGTACTGGGAAGTGCTTTGTGCGAGCTGTGTAGTACAAAGTAGTACTGGGAAGTGCTTTGTGCAAGCTTTGTGGTACAAAGTAGTACTGGGAAGTGCTTTGTGCAAGCTTTGTAGTACAAAGTAGTGCTGGAAAGTGCCTTGTGCAACCTTTGTAGTACACTCAAGAAGAACTTAGCTGACATATGTGAAGACATGAAATGAGACGAGAAGAGCTCAGATGAGATGAGTTGAGATGAAGTGCAAGCGTGAAGTGCGAAGTGCAGGGTGTGAAGAGTGCAATGTGAAGTGTGAGGAAAGTCTAGGAAAGTGTTTGCTTGGCCTTGCGTTGCAACCGGGTCGCGCGCAGGTCATGTTCTTGGACAACAACACTGCAACAGCTTCGCACAAAGCACGCACGCACGGGCCTGGCTGGCACACGGCGCATGCAAGTTCCTTAGTAGTAGTACTGGGAAGTGATTCATGAAAGCTTAGATGACATATGAGAAGAGATGAGATGAGAAGAGATGAGCTGGGATAAGGTGAGAAGAGCTCAGATGAGATGAAGTGTGGAGTGTGAAGAGTGCAGTGTGAAGCGTGGGGCGTGAAGAGTGCAGTGTGAAGTGTGGGGCGTGAAGAGTGCAGTGTGAAGTGTCGAGTGTGAAGTGTGAAAGTGTGAAGTGTGGACTGTGAAGTGTGAAGTGTCGAGTGTGAAGTGTGGAGTCTTAAGAGTGCAGTGTGAAGTGAAGTGTGGAGTGCGAAGAGTGCAGTGTGGAGTGTGAAATGTGAAGTGTGGAGCGTGAAGAGTGCAGTGAGAAGTGTGAAGTGCGAAGTGGAGCTTCAAATGTGACATGTGAAGACACCACTTTCGCAGAATGCACGCACGCACGGGCTTGGCTGGCGCGGCGCATGCAAGTTCTATAGATGAGAAAGGTCTTAAATATCCACTTCCGCCCCGCCTCGTGCGGGTACTACTGGTAGTTGATTTGGAGTTACATCATTTGTTCAAAGCCCTGGTTCTTGAAAGGCTTGGTGATTGTTTTAGTCGAATTATATTTCCATGAAGCCCCTTTGCGGGCTCCCACAACGACCCACCTTTTGCCATGCAGGAGACCTTAGCCTCCGCAGCCTTGGATTCGGATATGGTCATGGAGGACAACCGCCGCGCCGCCCTAGAGGCCCAGATGAAGCTGGAGGAGTGGTGACTTCCAGCGCGGCAGGGTTGGAATGTCAAAAATCCGAACAACCGCCCAAGGAACCTCAATTTCAGCTCAAAATCTGATTTTTACAAAGGACATCAAATGACTACGGTACCCCTACTGCCTAACCAATAGGAGAATTCCAGGTCACCCCCTAACATATTAGTAGGGGTGTGGGAAGTTTGAACATGCAAAATCCCAATGTACCTTGCCCAGGTGAGGACTTTAACTGTTTATATCCCCCACCCCTTCTGCTACCTGTCAGAGGTGCAGAATGAACAAATTGAGTATGTCAGAAGTGCACACCTAAAATTGTAGTCTCACATTTTCCAGATGTCACTAACCCCATCACTTATATATCAATGATGATTATGATGAAACGTTTGCTCTTTTGTAAATTGTGAGCGTTTTAAGTATATTGAAATATAGCTTACATTTGTGATGTCCCCTGGCCCCCTGGGGTCCAAAGGTGTAGTAATTGAATGAATCAAGGGTTTGCAAGTGGCGGTTGTGAAAGGTTGGCTAGTAGATTGAAAGATCCCTTCGAGAAGGACTGCTGTGTTGCTACTACGGTTGGTGACCAGTTCAAGGCACCCAACAGATACAAGTAATAATGTTGTAAACCCAATCATGCAGAACCATGAGGATCACAATAAACATCATCCCGGTGACGGGGCGTAGCCAATTTCACTACATTAACTCCAATTGGCGGTGGTTGCTGCGATAATTGTCACAGAATTGTCCGATAATTGTTTCATAATTTCCCAGAACGACCTAGCATGACCTAGCCTACAATTTGCTGGAAAGTACCACACCTCTTCCCACAGCTACGCCAGAATTAGTGTTCAATAATCTTCCCATATGTTTGTCACAAAACTTTTTTTGACATATCCAAGATTCATCCCAGAATCACCGCTTTTGAGTTATATTGGCGCGAAAAGTCCGGTAGCAAATCTCGACCCAGGAGCTCTTCCGCGCGGCTGACGATGATGGTGATGGCCACCTGTCCCCTGACGAGTTTGTGGAGGCCTTGAGCCTGCCATCCGTGCAAGGCGAGCTTCAGATGGCGGGGATCTACATGAATCACTGGGTAGTGACCGGAACATATGGGGTGATGTGAAAAATACCGGGAGATTGACCATTCTAGTGTGATTCTGGAAAGATATTGTCTCATGGAAAAATATGAGGTGATTTCTTGGAAAATACTAAAATCGAAACAGTGAAGCCAATATAGCATAAAATTGTCATGTGGCTGGTGCATATATATATATATATTTATTTACATATAATACAATTATATGTGGACAAACTTGACCAATTGGGATTTTAAGTTCGAGATTTACATGATAGACCACATCCTTTTTCAACACAGCAGAATATGCTGTGTATGTGCATGTCTGTACAACTAGCACACATGAAGATGCAAAATTGTTCTTGTGATGAGGTACACCCAATAAAAGGGAGCACCGCAGGGGAGTAGATTTGATAGAATAGCGTTATAAATGATATTTCCGAAGCTTGGGATCTGTCAAGTCCATAGTACACAATCCCCTAATGTTATTCTATTCACTTCAAAAGGGGACAGTGAAATTTATTGTCCCAAGAGTGGGAGCACATATGCGTTTCCAGAAGCCAGTGCTATCCGAAATGGACAGCATTTCACATGAAAAATGATGAAGTTGTTTATCTTTTTCTTGAAATGACGTTTTTTTTGCTTGCCTGCCAGGTGGGAGTTTCTAGACTTTTTGTGAACATCTCGCGCCTCCTTCTTCTTCTTCCTCCTCCTCTTCTCTGCGCCCTCCTCTCTGGGCCCAGCCGGACCTGAACAGAATGGCGAGCTCGCCAGCTATTGGCACAGAATTGCGAGCTACAGGCTGTCAGGCTCCCCCCGGACTTGATCTGCTGGTACATTTCGTATCTATCCGCATGATCCGCATGATCCGCATGCAGGGTCGTGGCAGAGGCATCTGAAGAATTCCGCGGGCTGAGGTGATGTTTGTTGGGCCAGGGGCTTTGGAGAAGATCGGTGCTTGGTGGTGGCTTGTGCACAGTGTGGTCACATGTGGCCAAGGCTCTTCAAAGCCAAGCGGACATCAGATTTGTCCAGGAACCCTTTCACCGGAAAAGGTGTCTGATTTTTCTGGAGGCTATCCCTGTGACCTTCTGGCGCTCTGGTGGGCTGCTTGGCTGCTCCGTCAGCTACCATTTTGAAGGATAAGTGAGAATATGTTGTCTTATGGCACAAATCTGAAGTCGGCACCTGTGCATAGGTTTCGGCTTGCGATAGAGGCCAGTCATGCAGAAGAGAAGGAGCTCTGCGAGCTTGGGTTGGGGGAGCGGCTAAAACGCCAGGGTCCCAACACCCCAATGTTCTACTTGTCCCGTTGGACCCACGGACGGGCTATTATGTGATGCACCAGCGTGGTACGCAAATATTCAGGACTTTCCCACTGTTCATAGTCAATCCATGAGTCAACAGCACAGGTTGGATCAGGATTGCGCAACCACTGTTTGCATTCTTACAATGAAGGGCCCCCTACGTATAAGTCAAGTTAAAAAAGATTAGGGGTGAGTTAAATTTTAAGTGGGGGGAACTTATGTTGTAACTTTTAAGTGCATTGGAAGTTATATCTTAGATAGCTACTTATAACCTAAGTTAGTGTTATGTTGGGGCAAAGTTATAAATAACCCATTCAAAAGTTATGAAAGTTAGCTTCTAGCTGACTTTTTACTTTTCTGTTTTGAAAAGTTAGGATGACTCTGTATTATTTCATTGTTTTTCAGATGTTTTTGAGTCCGAAGCCGATTTGTCGCTCAGCTGGCATTTTTTCCAGTCCAAACGGAGGTTGAAGCCATGTGAGGAATTCAATTTCATGATGTTTCAATACACAGGGAACACAAAATACATACGTGCTTTTCAAGATATGAAGCAAAACTTATAAGATACATATGTGTTTTCTCCAAGTTCCAGCGAAGCTATGCAATAACACGTACCTGTTTTCCAAGTTTATCATGTAGCCAATCTAAAAATACATCTGTGTTTTGTCTTCATGTCCACATCACGCCCTCCAAACACATATGTGTTCAAAATGTGTTTTGTTTGTGTTTATTTGTGTGTTTCGCTCTTTTTCCTCAAACTACATAATACATATGCGTCTTGCAGATTTGCCACCAAATACAGATAACACGTATGTGTTTTGAGCTTCTGGCTGCTGAAATATGGTATAATACTTATGCGTTTTGATAGTGTGGGAAAGGAAAGCACATAACACATATGTGTTGTACACGTGTGGTATCGTGGGTAGCTGTTCTCTTGATTTTTTCATCTTTCTTCTTTTCTTTGCAGCCTTTCTCTGTATAGCTTTGCAAAACCAGGGGTTTTGACTGAACCCGGGAAAAAGGTAAAACTCAATAAACAAGTGCTATGCTATTTCCAAGAAAAAGTAACAAGTGACAAAAAAAACATAAGACAGTTATTTAAAAATGTATAACTTCACTTGTTCCTGCCATAACTTAACGTATGTTAACTTCAACTTAACTTGCCTGACTCAACTTAAAACAATTCTAACTTTATGTTAACTTGAGGGCCCTTCCTTGTACGCCTTATTAACACTGTTTAGCGCTTTTTTGTGCGTCCTCGGGTTGGCGACATGAAGCTACATGTGAATCACGTCGGACAAAAAGGTCCGACTAACCCGCTCATGTGTAATAATCCATGCTGTGTTTGAGTCGGCGTGAACCTACTTGTGCCATCTTGTGCCAGGCAACTGAAGGGACCAGGGCTAATTATGGACCTTCGCGTGGATTCCACCATCCTCGCGTCTGACCATCATCGCTTTCTGGATGGCGCACCGCGAGCTGTCCCCAAGTTAAAAGTGGCCGTGCTGACCTGGCTGGTTGACATTTACAGGGTTCCCGGTATAGAGCCATAGAGCACCGTGAGCCACGCGATTCCGACATTTGACCTTTGAAACAAGACATTTTTGCCCGAGAAGTGCTGCAAAGAAGTGCTTGAGCAATGAGCAGTCCTGAGGATAAGGATATAACTGCCGCCCTCTGTGAAAAGGAACCCTATTTGAGCTCGCCACCCTTTAGCCTTGCAGAGCCCGAACAGAATGGCAAGATCGCAGGCTTTCTGGGCCCCGCTGGGCCCGACCCGAGCACCATTCCAAATTAATTGGCAGAGACCGTCAGCATGTGCCAGAACCGGCCAGAACACCGTATATAGTATATACTATACCCTATAGAATTTCAGGTAAAATGTCAGATAGAATGCAAAACACGGTGCCAGATTGTATGTCAGATAGAATGTCAGCTAGAGTGTCCGCATGCCAGATCAAATGCCAGGTACAACGCCTGATTGCATGTCAGATAACATGACAGCACACAAGTCTAATAAACAATTCCGATAGAATGTACAACATATGCCATGCAGAATGCCTGAGAGCATGTTAGAGTGTCAGAGTACATCTCAGATAAATGCCACATCCAACGCAAGATCGAAATGCCAGACAAGATGCCAGAAGATATGTCAGAATACATGCCAGATAGAATGCCAGATAGAGTGCCAGAATACATGCCGCATGGTGAAGACTACGTTGAAAAAAGTAATTTCCCTGGACGCATGATGATCGGGAACAACGGGTCCAAATTGCACGCAGGTGTTTTTCATTAACACAAAAACTAAGAAAATAATCCGACATAAACCAGATTTCCCACAGAAGGGAAGACAAGCGGAGGCGAACAACTCGACATTTTCTGTGATTGTCTTCAGATGTACATGTGCCCCAGTGCTAAGTTGGTTTATGTTGGTTTATACTGGATTATATAGCTAGGGCGCGTGGTGATTGTAACGATATTTCGGTGTGGATCAGCCAACCTGTATACAAAGGTGGCATCTCCATTGTCGGTAAAGTATCTCTTGTCATTCTGAATTCTGCGAGGTTTCCTGCAGTCCATGGATGTGAGCATTCGAGATACGGGGCCGCTTTTTGAGATTTTGGATGATGGAGACGGCCTCATAACCATCACCGAATTCTGCAAAGGCTTACTGCAGCTAAAAGGCATGGCCCGGGCGCTGGACATCATCGTTTTGCAGCGGGAGAACGCAAAGGTCTTGCGAGAATGTCGTGACGGAATGGTGTTTAGTTATTTTTTTGGGGGGGGTGGTGGTGGTCATGGTGGCGGTGGTAGTGGCCCTTTATTGTTTTGTGGTGTGTTTGGCAGATGTTATAGGTTGTTACCTTTATATTTGTGGCTTTAAGATTGTTGGTATAAATTTGCAGTATATCATATCCCATCAAAGTTTATGCAGGATGCATGTTGGATCAGCACATTGCTGAGGTGAGATGCACGCACATCTCCAAACCTTTTTCACCCTTCGTTGAAACCTTCGTTGCATCCAAAGGATCGCAGCGCTAGACGGATGGAAAATTAGGGGCGTGAAAAGAAACAAATGGCGGAGGTCCAACTGTTGTTTTCTTCACGGTGGACTATGGTGAAGCCCACAGGCAAGACAGATTTAGATATATTTAGCGCACTTAATGATCTTAAAGTCGTTTGGGCAGGAACTAGAGGTATTTCAAGTCATTTTAGTCTTATAGAAACCCTTTGCATATGTCAGTAAAGGTCATCATTTGATGCCTTCGTTGGCCTATTTCCGAGAAATTTAGGTTTTTTGTTTTTCACTGCAGGATATTCTTGTATGAACCAAGCTTTGTCATGAAGGATGGCCAAGTTGACATCTGCAGACACTGGTGATGGGGTGAACTTGGCCCTGCCTGAATTGGGCAGGGGAAGGCTTATTTTGATATTCCAGAAAACCCACCAGGAGGCAAAGAGCCTTTTGTTCCCCAAATGTGTCCACACTGAGGGGTTGTAGGTAAAAGGCCGGGGTTAGATAAGGGTGTTCCGTCTGGCCTCCGGCATTTTCCCTGTAAATTCTTACATAAAATGGCTCTTGTGCGCCATGTCGCAGGCTCGCGCAAAGTTTGCCCCGCGACCTTGGAGCGCGGCATCTTTCCTGTAAATTGCTTGTGACTTGTCCATGTGCGTTTCGACTGCGCAGGGTCGAACAAGGTGTCAAAGTGTGCGTCGCGACTTTGGGGGACGGCATTTTTCCTGCAAATTTTCGCATAAATAGCTGTTGTGACATGCATTTTGACTGCGCAGGCTGGCACAAAGTCTGTGGCGCGAGCTTGCTCCCCAGCATTTTGCCTGTAAATACTCGCGTAAAATTGCTTTTGTGACTTGTGCATGTGTGTCTCGACAGCGCAGGCTCGCACAAACTGTGCGTCGCGACTTAGGGTGGCGGCATTTTTCCTGTACATTTTCGCAAAAAATTGTCGTGTGACTTGTCCATGTGTGTCGCAGGCTTGCGCCCACTGTGCGCCGCGTTTCCTGTCAATTATCACATAGACAATGGCTCTTGTCACAGTGCATTTCGGCCGCGCAGGCTGGCGCAGAGTGTGTGTGCCGCAGGGTTTTTCATTGTAAATTCTCGCGTCAACGGGCTTGTGGAGATCCTGCTCAATCCCTCTTTAAGAGGCCCTTGCATGATCCTGTACAGGCCCTTACCTTAACAGAAGATCTTGTGGAGATCCTGGCGGAATTCTCTCGAAGAGGTCCTTGCATGAGGAATTTGCAGATGCTCTTGTTTCGGAGGTTCTGGTATCATGATCTTGCAGGGTCCGCTCCAGCAGCGGCAGGTCCTTGTATGATGATCTTGTGGGATTCTCTTAGGGGTCCTGGCATGAAGATCTTGCTCCAGGTCTTGTACAATTCCTTGTGCGACGATCTTGTGGAGATCGTAGCCAAATGCCTTCAGAGGCCTTTGCCTGCTCTTGTGCAAGAGGTCCTGGTGAAATCCGCTCGGTGTCCTCATGATTTGGCGCAGGTCCTTGTGAGAAGATCTTGTGGAGATCCTGTTGAAATCCTCCACAAGAGTTCCTTGCATTCGCATCTTGAAGATCCTCTGCGTTGGTGCTTGTATGAAAGTTCTTCTTGGAGGAAGTTCTTGTATGAAGATCTTGTGAGCTCCTCTATATGGATCTACATACAGTGGAAGGTGATGCTGCTGCAGTTGCGAAGTTGCGATGTAATGTCTAACGCATCTGTCGCTGTTCCATACCCGCTGTTGCTTGTATCTGGCACATTGACTTCCTACCCCCCACACTCTTTAGGGGCTCTTGCCTGTGTAATTTAGTTGTAGATATTGCAGTGCATTTTGCAAAGAACCTATCAAATGAAGATGGTAACGAAGGGTTTGTATGATAATAACCACTCACCATCCCTGCAACCAAACACATAACTGCATCACGCTGCACGCCATCAATGAACCATGAGATGAAAGTCAGCGCGCGCTGAAAGTATCTTGTGTGCCTCGATTTTGTGCATGTTTTGACATGCTGAAGTAAGGTGATCACAACCCAAGTGCAGCTGATAGCGGCTTCAACCCTCATGTGCAATTTTTCCTTTTTGAAAAACTGCAAGGGCTTGTTACGGCGCAGAAGCCAAAAAATTGGAAGCATTCTAGCACTATGACACGTTTGAAGCATCTGCAAGCTATGCTGGCTGCAGCTGGAATAATTCGGATGACTTGAGCTGTATACATGGCCAGTCGAAGATCAGATCTCATAGGGTCTCATAGAGTCTGGGCTGTCGCAATCCGGCATTTGTGCTCAATCTACTTTTCAGGCAGCATACAGCCACATGTTGCTTTGATGCCCACAGATCCCACAGGCAGGGTTTCCTTACGCACTTATTGGCTGATCCTGCGCCCGTTGATTCTTCGCCATGTCGGAAGCAAAAATGACGATCGACGACGAATTCAAAATCTGGCTGTCTAAAACTTTGGACGCCAAGTTTGCGGCACAAGAGGCAGGACAACTGGCCGGTAGGACTGAATGACTTGGCAGAACCCAGCATGCGATGAAAATTGGCGAACGTCCGATCCCAAGATCCAGCTTCATTTTTTGAAAGATGTGTTTCATTGGTTTGATCTGCTTGGCCACATGGGTTGCGGCGAATCATAGCCCCTTGGGAGGCCGCAATCCGGGAGATGTTGCTTTCACTTGCCACGGCGGGATTTGAGCAAGAAATCTCCAAAGGTGCGGGTGTTGCTTCGATGCCTCTGAGCGAGATATCGGACCTCGTCCCCAAGATGGAGTTGGAGTTTGGCGAGAAGGATGATAAGGTGGGACTGGCTCAAAATTTCTGATGTTTTTTTGAGTAATTACTCGGTAATAAGCATCCCTAATTGCTGCTAAGACCACTAATTTTAGATATTTTCACTTTAGGCACTTCATGAAAATATTGGTACTTATTCTAACTTATCATAAAACTTATTTTCACTCATTTTCACTTATTGTCACTTATATTTGCTTATTTTGACTTTTGTTGAAACTTTCAAAGGCTTAGAATTGATAATGCGATATCATTTTCTTTTTTAAAAAAAACGTAGCAAGAACGATTCGGTATAAGAAACAAATTCGTGGATAAAAGAGGTTGAAGGTTTACTTTTTTGTTTTGAGTTTTTTAAACAGATACTATCCCTTTCAGGACGTTATCCAATTCAGGAACTATCCTTTTCAGGAACTATCCTTTTCACGATATTATCTCATTCAGGAACCATCCTTTTCAGGAAGTCTCCTCCTCGTGGTGGAGGCGGGTATTGACCGAGGCCAGGGTCTTTAGGCGAAAAGTTGCTCACATGTATCCCCTCCAGCTCCCACTGGAGAAGATCAAGAAAAGAACAGTGCAGAAAGAGCCCGAAAAAGAGCTCACTGAGCAGAAACAAAAGAAAATTCCAAAAAGAATCCTGAAGACACAGTGGTGTCCGGGCCTGTTGAACCCTTTGACCCCCCTGTGCTTCCTGCTTTTTGCTTCTTGCATGCTTGGTTGCCATGCTTCGCGCGTTGACGAACGTGTGTGCTTCATGGATGACCTTCACTGTGGGCTTTACCTACAGCTTTCTACCGGCCCTTCCTCGGGCCCCCTGGGGCGAGCGCTTCCGATCGGTGCAATGGCCGGCAGCGATGAAGCAATGCCCCCTTGGCGAGCGGATGCTGCGCAGCTTTACTTCAAAGAGCAGCCATTGCAGGAGATGTGTGGCTGGGAAGCTTTTGTGAAACAATTACTGAGTGTTATGCAACCTTTTCTAGGTACTGTTGCTCTCAGTATTTTGTGGCTTTGGCATCACAATGGTCATTTTATCTTTTGGGTCTCTGCCAGGAAAAGGCGCTTGAAACCCAAAAAGCTGCTTCAAGTCGTTCCAAAAGCCAAGTGCACACGGTTTCGTTTCGGGCCGTGTCGGTGGATAGGAGGCAGGAGGCACAGGTGTTGTTTCAAAAAGTACAGACTCAAGGGTCGACTGTTTCACATGCGCATGTTAAACATCAAACTTCGTCAGCATTACTGTGAACAACATAGTAAGATTGAGGAAGTGAATTCCCGCACAAGACGGGAACACATTTTTCACAAAGCCATCATTGTTTCAAGTTTTCTTTGGGAGAGACTTGGCCCGGTTTTTTCAGCAGTGGTGGAAGGGAAATCCCAAAGCCAGTTTGGGCACTTTGATTTACCGATTTTTGGCCAACCTGTCAAATTGGAACCCGTTGATGGGGGTTCGCATTGGAGAGGCCAAAAACCCAGGACCTGGGGGAGGAAGTCGAACCACCATGCGGAAAAGACAGGAAACTCAAACGGACGAACATAACCTTGCTCAACAAATGATTGCTGTCTTAGAACAATTTCAATCAACCAGGCATAGCAAGCGTGCCAAGCATAACCACGGAACTTCTGAGCCTCAAAAGGGTCTGGCTCACTTGTTGATGGAAGTGCTTCAAAATGCTGTTCAAGAACGTTGGAACGACCAAGACGTGGCTGAAACAATGCTGGGAACTTTACAACCATATGTTTCAGGCTCTGAACAGGATAGCTGGGAACCAGAGGTTCCAACAAACAAAGCGTGGGAAACTCACAGCTCGTCTTGGCCTCAGACCAATACGCCCAGCTGGAATTCTGCGAATTACTACTATACTCAAAACAATTTTCAGGATGACTGGAACCAACAGCAACATGAAAAATGGTCCGCGAAGACATCCTCTTCCGCCTCTCACTCTGGTGCGGGGCCTAGAATTGTCTCGCGGGGCTCTCACGCGGAAAAGATTGGAGGTGGGGGTCCTAGATTTGCTGCCAAAGTCCAGGCCTTAGAATGGACGTCTCCTCCCCAGCTTGGTACTTTGAATCAAGTTAAAAAGACCTTGGAAGACGGTAGGGAACTGACTATCAACTTGATCATTACCAAAGACTCTGAAGTGCAGAAGGAGATCCAACAACTTTGGAATGCGTATTCCATCAAATCTGCTTTGACGGTTGCTACCATCACTGAAGAAAAAGAAGCTGTTCACACGGTCTCCCTCTGGTGGGACCTGCGTAAACAGCATACTCACAAACCAGTTCGGGCAAAAGTCGTGTTGTGGCAAGCGGGTACTACAAATGGCCCGACCCCAATCAAGGGCCAAAGTGTTGAACTTGACATCAAAGACACCCCAAAGCTGGTCACTGTTCGCGTTCTTGCTCCTGAACACTACCGCAAAACTGTTGCTGGGGTGTATGGTCGGGATGAACCGCAAAGAATTATCAGCGAATGGGCTCAATTGGTTGGATGTAGAGCGGCCACTTTGTGTGGTGGCAATTGGCAAAGTGTTCAACATAAACACGGCTTGTTTATCATAGGTCATGTTAAAGTGCCACTCGAACTGGCAAACAAAACCGTTGCTCTTTCGGGCAAACGTGCCTTGTTTTTCACAAAAGTTGAAAAAGAGACCAAGGCGTTGGTGTCTTGGCTGCGAAAATCAAAGGATGAAAGTGATGAAGAGTACCTTCAGAGAGCTCAAGCCCAGGCCGTTTCCAAAAAGCTTCCTCTGGTTCTCAGACAGGGTGGCAACAGTGACCTTGGAGTGGCCGGGGTCTCAGCTGCTGAAGTCAAAAGCAACCATCCCAGACATTTTGAAGTTTATGGATGTCCTCGTTACTGGACGCAGGATGAGGTCACTGTTTTTCTTCAAAAAACTGGTTGGAAAGACCCTGAAATCAAAGCCAAAGTTCGGCGTGGTTTCGAGCATGCTTGGATCTTCAAAGCGGGCCCGGCTCCTCTACAAAACGATGATGTCAAAGGTGTTTACTGGCAGTTTCGTGACACTGGTGGAAAATGTGTTTTCACCATTATGCCTGAAAGCAAAAACAAAACCAAACATTCTCCGATGGAATGGCTTAAACCTCCGAACAAAAACAAGCATTTGACTGCTAATGATTATGTTCCTCAAATTCAGAGCCCGCCCGTGCAAAATGAGCAGGCTCAACCTCAGGTTGCTCCTACTCAATTGGAACAGGGCACTCAGGATTCCCAAAGAGGCCAGGACCTTATTCAGAGAGATTTGCAAGCTGACCGAATTCGGTCACCTCGGCGGGGACAGACTGCAAAGACCAACGAACCGGCTTCAGCTAGCTCCAGTGCTAGAAACAACGAGCCTAAAGATTGTTTTTTGCGCGATTACCCCGGATGGTCTGTGATTGATTGCCACGGAACAGGCGATTGTGGTTTTCGTACGGTTGCCAAGGGTATTGCTTTCAACCAAAATAAGAATTTGAACGAAGAACAGCTTTGCCGTGAAGCTTCCAAACTTAGGTGTTTTACGACCGGTCACCTGATCAAACACAAAGAACATTTTGCGCACATGTGGAAGCCGGACAGTGATACTACTCGTGAACATTGTGCACAGCAAGACATTCCGCAAGATTTCTCCGATTACTGTATGAGTGCCAGCAACCAACAGTTCTGGGTTGATACCATGCTTCTTGAAGCTCTGATGCAGCGAATTGGGTCGGTCTTCATCATTTTCAAATGGTGTCCTGATGAACTGTCTTGGAAACGTACCGTTCTTGCTAAGAAGTTTCAAAACGAAAAAGCTGTCTGTTGCAGTAAGGATGCTAGGCCTATTTGTTTGATGCTGATTTCTGATCATTTTTGGTTCCTTCAGCCTCCTGACTCAGAGACTGCTTTACCTGATGCTTGGCTACTCAAGACGCCGGAACGCACTCGTGGGTTTCTTCGAGGAGCTGGTAAGTTGTCCTTGCCTCCTGAAACGCCTTCGCTCAGGTCAAACAAAACTGTTTTACAACAACAGGCTAAAACTCCTGCTAGGTCAAGTAGGCAGACGCCAAAAAAGTATGTCCTGAAAGACAAGTTCGATCAGGATAGCTGTGCCCTCAGTCTTCCGCCGGTCACTCCGTCTGGAAGATCTCAGACAATCGGGAACAAGTTGGCCGGAGCCTCAAGGGGGAAATCCCCAAGTGCAAGCCTTAGCATCCCTGTGTCAACGCCTAGAACCATTAGTTCTCGAAAGCAGCAGGCGTGGACACCTCAGACTGCCACCACTGTTAAAAATGGTAGACGAACCCACTCTGAAACTACAGTACAGTCCAATCCTCAGAAAAAGAAGTCGCCTGTCACTGTTGTGCCCAAGCCTCAGAGCAAAAAGCAAGCCAAAGAAGCTTACTGGACTTGTCCGTTTCCAAACTGTAACTTTCAGGTTGACAATTCCCTGTCTCAAGAAAAAAGGCCTCAACGGCGGAAAAAGCATTTGAATCGCGTGCATAATCTCAAAGGTGATAAACTCAAAGAGTTGACCAACAAGGAACGCATCGAAAGAGTTATTGCCAAGCAGGAAACTCCTCTTTCTGTCCATCACTCCTCTCGTCCTGACATCCAGCTGTCTCTCAATCTTCCTGTTTTCCCTGCTTCTTCTACTTCGTCTTCCTCCATTCCTATTGTTTGGTGGCGTTGTACTTGCGGCTTTGAAGTCTTCAAAAGTACGCACTATGAACAAAAACGAATCAAATTCAAGCACCTTCGTGCTGAACATGGTATTTTGAGAACCAACTATGCGGGTCAGCGGGAAAGCAATGCTGCCTTTGCCCCCAAAAGATTGAATGCTGCCCGTGACTCCTTGCAACTTCGCTGGGAACACCATTGGAAAGCTTTTTCCAAGGCCAGATGGCCTCGGTCACATGACCTTCCCGTGGAAGCCACTGTGTGGCGTGAATACAATTCCAAAAATCAAGGGAAATGTTATTCGCCTTTTCATGTTTGCAAAAAGTGCGGAATTCAAGTTGAAAGAAATTCATGGCATT